TGGAAGTGAATTTAAAAAAAGCTCCTACAATTGCTCCAACAGTCAATAGATTTTTGTATAAATGGCTTTATTTAAGTGCTTTCTATCGACCACAATCATCACACTCTTACTAATTTTTATAATCTGAACTTAAACGTTTTTAAATTGGGTAATTAACAAATAAATGGCATTAAGTTAATCTAAGTTAAGCCAACATTTTTAGTCAGTAAGTAAGCAAGTTTCATTAAATTAAATATTTAATACAAACATGACAACATCGCGTCGTCATCGCTCTTATCGAACCGGCAATAGATCGAAAACGGTAACAGTGGTTAGTTATAGGGCATCGGGCGTGTTTTGTTTTTGTTCGCGTACGTCGTCGTGTTTGTTTACGGTGTTCTCGAATCAAGAGTTCGCCGACATGTTGTTAGTTTACGGTCAAGCTCGTCAGAATTCAAATCTTGCAGCTCAAATTTATCGCGACAGATTTCGCCAACGGGTACACCCAGACAGAAGGACATTTGTGCAAGTGTAAAAAAGACTTCGAGATACAGGAAGTGTTCAGCCCACTAATATTCGCACTCGTGAAAGACAGGTTACTGTAGAGCAAGAGGAACAAATTTTAAATATCGTGGAAATCAATGCAGATATCAGCACTCGGGAATTAGGCCGCCGTGTCGGACTATCGTTTACCATATTCCATAGAATCCTACGGGAACATTTGCTTTATCCCTACCATGTACAACGAGTGCAGGCCCTGTTACCAGAAGACTATCCTCGCAGACTAACATTCTGTCAGTGGTTTTTGCACAAAAACATCGAAAATCCGGATTTTTTTAAAAACATTCTAGCGACGGACGAATGTACTTTTACGCGAGACGGGATATTAAATTTCCATAATACTCACACGTGGGCCCATGAAAATCCTCATACCCTTCGTGAAGGTAATTTCCAACAGCGTTTTAAAATAAATATTTGGGCGGGTATTCTTGACGATCAGGTAATTGGCGCTGTCGAGTTACCCCCAAAGTTGTCAGGAGAAGGATACCTTACCTTTCTAGCTAATAACCTACCAAAACTTTTGGAACAGACCTTAGACAACATGCCATTACAACGGAGATATAATTTGTGGTTTCTTCATGACTGAGTGGGGCCGTGGCAAATGTTTGTTCCGGAAGTTGTTGTATCCAGTATACAACTTCTTCCCGTTCAAGTGATTGTCCACGCGTTAAGGAATACCTCAGTAACACGTAAAAGAAGGTGGTAGACAGGACCAGTCGACCGAGGCAGTACCACCCGCTAGCTTTTCCCAGGGTGTCTTATAAATGTCCGCATGTTTCCACACCTAAGCTATGCAGTCGGTTATCCTCCAAAACAAAGAAATTAATGATGATGGATCCTCGAGCACTAAGAACTCCGGACGTAAACTCACTCCACTCTCGGAATGTCCGGGTGGAGGGTGGGCTCGAGGGAACAACATCAAAGATAAAAGTTGTCGCCGTCCAGATCGACTTCCTGAACATCAATCATCCCGCTTCAGAGATAGTTCTTCTCGATGATTTCAATGCCCATAACGAGCTTTGGTTGGGCTCAAACAAGACCGACGCAGCAGGTCGTGCAGTCGAAGCGTTCGCTCTTACCCAAGGGCTGACTCAGCTGGTGACGAGTCCTACGTTTTTTCCCTGCATCTCGTCACACGCCAGTAGCTTGCTGAATCTCTTTCTGACCACGCATCATGTCCCTTACAGCACTGCTGTCCTGTCCCCCCTGGGTAACTCAGACCACGGTGTTGTGGAGGTTAGGTTTCCGTCAGAACCCGCTGTGGCAGCAGAAACTCGTAAAGGTCCCAAAACTTGGCATTACCGACATGCCGACTGGGAGGGGCTCAGAGATTTCTTCTCTAGCTTTCCTTGGAAAGATGTCTGCTTCACTGACGCGGATACATCGGCTGTCGAAATGGAGGAATACATCCCTCACCCAGTGAAAGTGTCTAGACCAGGGTCCAACGGCTGGTTTAACTAATCGTGTGACCCTGCTCACCAGCAGAAGATCAAGGCACACAGAACCTTCTTACAAAACCCCACTGTAGAGAACAGACAAGCCGACGTTGAGTCCAGAAACAAATATAAAGGAGCTGTTCGCAATGCCAAAAACCAGCATGATATAAAAGTTAGGCACAGGGTAATGTCGCAGCGCAATGGCAGTCGGTCTTTCGGGACGCTAGCCAAGCAGATTGAAAAGAACTTCTCACACAGTAGCCTTCCACCACTTACGTGTCAGGATGGAACTATTGTATTCAACTCAAAGGCCAAGGCGGAAGTGCTAGCCAAGATCTTTGCTGCCAACTGCACCATGGACGTCCCCCACAACGCCCAAGTGCCGTCAATTTAAAGGGTTCCCTACACTATGCGGGAAGTAATATTCAGGCATAAGACCGTAAGACGAGCGCTCTTGTCGCTCGACATCATCAAAGCTTCTGGTCCGTACTTGATTCCTGCCTTTGTACTGAAGAGGTGTGCACCGGAGCTTGCTCCAGTTCTTTCGCGTCCTTTCCAGATATCTTATGAATCCGGCACCTTCCCAGAAAACTGGAAATTTGCTCATGTCCAACCCATCCTAAAAAAGGGATCTAAGACCGACCCTTACAACTACAGGCCTATAGCCCTGCTTTCTGTTTTAAGTAAGGTGATGGAGAGGTGCATAAATCGCGAGCTTCTGGACTACCTCGAACGTCACGGCTTGATTAGCGACAGGCAGTATGGTTTCCGGCACCAACGATCCACAGGGGACCTCCTAGCTTACGTCACTCAATTGTGGAGTAAACTCATCCAGTCTTATGGTGAGGCTCATGTCGTTGCTCTTGACATCACGAAAGCGTTCGATCAGCTGTGGCAAGCTGCCCTCTTAAGCAAACTTCCATCCTATGGCCTCCCAGAAAAGCTTTGCAGATGGGTGGCTGACTTTATCTCTGGCCGCAAGATATCCGTCGTAATTGACGGGTTCTCCTCTTCATCCCACAACGTCAAAGCGGGTGTTCCCCAGGGATCAGTCTTGTCTCCGACACGGTTTCTCTTACATTTCAACGACCTCCTTAACTGCACGATCAAACCAATCCACAGCTTCGCCGATGACAGCACTCTACATGCAGGAATTCAGAGTGACAAGCCGATCTCTGCCGCTGAGTTGGAAAAAAGAAGACTAGCGATGACTTCCTCTCTGACAAGAGACCTGGAGGCTATCACTGCTTGTGGACGCAACAATCTTGTACAGTTCAATGCTTCCAAAACGCAGTACTGTACTTTGACGAACAAAAAGCGTCCCTGCGCTCACCCGGTTTCGATGGATGGTCGGGTTCTGCCAAAGGGCCATGCATTTCGGCTGGTCGCAGTCCAGATCACCGAGGACCTGATCTGGCACGAACACATCTCGTCAATAGCTGCAGCTGCTGGGAAAAAGCTAGGCTATTTGTTTAGGGCTAAGAAATACTTCTCTCACTCTATACAAGGCCCAGATAAGGCCCAGCCTCGAGTATTGCTCACACATTTGGGGTGCTGCCGCCCCGACTACATTATCCCTGCTCGATGCTGTCCAGAGGAGGGCGGTCCGACTGGTCGATGACTCTTCTCTAACAGACAGTCTCGGGACTATTTCGCACCGGTGGGCTGTCGGCGATCTGGCTCTTTTCTACCGTTACACCATCGGGCTTTGCTCTTCAGAGCTCTCTTTTATGATGCCGTCGCGCGAGATGCCTGCCAGACAGACCCGCCTAACTTTGGCGTCCCATCCTAAATTTCTTTGGGAGCATCATAGCAGCCGCGGTGTTCCGGCATTTAGCCTTCTGCCTGCGCTGCTGCTTCGATATAAAAAAAACACATTTTTAGAGGCGTCACTCAGTATTTGAATGAACATTATCCAAATCGCTGGATCGGTCGAAATTCTCCTGATCCTCGAAAATGGCCAGCAAGATCTCCTAACCTCAAGTCGATAGATTTCTGGTATTGGGGAGAACTTAAAGGGATGGTTTATGAGGCTGGTCCAATAACAACTGAAGCGCAACTTCGCGAAAAAAATTTTAATGCGACTGAAATAATAAATGGATAACTTCGAGGACCTAGAGTAAGAAGAAACTGGGCTCGTCGTAATGAAGCTTTTGTGGAAAGTGGAGGACGACATTTTGAACACCTTTTTTAAATACAAAGAAGTGCAGTGTTGGTTTTAAAAAGAAAAACAATGTATCTATCAAAATTATGTTCCCCTTTTATAAGTGGATTTTTTTAGTACGTTCAATAAACTTTCACACACCAGGTGAAGCGCTGAGACCGGTAGTCCGTTTTTTTAAATTATTTATTATGAAATAATGAAATAATACCTAAGAGCCAAGAATAACAAACTCCATCTTTATTTACACTGCGTTCCGTCGTAATTTGCGTCTGGCATTGCGGCGTTGTCAGGCTTTATTTTACTTTAAAGTCGATTTTCTTTAAAAAAAGTTCCATTTTGACGCTCATGTTATATGAAACTTTGTTTCTTTTAACCACCTCTATCACCCATTTAAATAATGACTATCCTAACGTTTACACCGTGTATATTTTGTATATGTTATATATATATATATACTACAATAAGCATCATTATTACTATTAGTATTGTTATTATCTTCTACCACAGAGAATGCAGCAGTTCGTTGGGTACAACAATAGAACTTTAAAGCAACAATATGGCACGAAAGTCCAGGTTACGACCCCAACGGGATGTTCTAAGGACGTCCCATTTGGAGACGAGACCTACCGACCCAAATCAGATCTAAAACGAACGTTCCAGGAAGCAAGTGTGCTGTTATGGATACTCTTAACTTCTGATCATTTTGTTAGTGGAGCGTTAATTTTTTGAAAAGACTTATTTTTCAATAGGGGCTGAACCAGTTTATTGTGTATCTATTGTAACATCAGGTATGCCTTCTGTAATATGTTGATAAAGTAATATAATTAAAACATTATCTGTTTACAAGCGATATGTTAAGCATCAACTAATCCGACCATAATTGGACGTTTCCGCCAATTTTAGTCCTGGATATCAATACCTACGCATGATGTGCTATGAATAGATACAGTAGAATATTTGTGCTAGATTGATCCTTTGCGATGACGATGGTGAGTAACTGACGCTGCTATCGCTAATGAAAATACCATAAAATTACATCGTTTTTTTTTTAACCGTAACCAACAACTTTGTCTTTTGGCATTTTTCGTTAGAACCTGTTATTTACTGCTTTGTCGATAAACTGAATGCCGGTGTTCGGTGCTATAGCTTCGCAAGACGCCAGACCAGTGGTGGTCTTGGTCTTGCCAGCTTCTAACAATGCTGCTTTTTTTTGTGAGACCAAGACCAAGACTGGATCCGCAAGACCATCACCAAGACTGTGTTACAAGGCTCTTGCGGTCATGGAAAGATTACTACCTAGGTTAACATATAACAATTTCTCAATTAAATTTGTTTAATGATTCTCAAAGCTAAGATCTAATAGATAAAGTGAATATTATATCACTTTCTTGGAGGTATTAACTAAATAGTTGAAAAATTATAGATTATAAAGATCTACGTTAGGTTCGTACTTAATTTTCCACACACGTTTCTGCAAGTTTTAACATATGTTCCCAAGTTCTACGTAGTTACCGCTAGTTTTGTGTACTCTTACCGATAGAAAAAGTACGAAAAATCCTTTATATAAATTTAATATCAGTGAAATTTTTTATAATGCTAAAATTTTGACTATCTGTTAACTACTGTTCCATAGCAAATTGAGATCCGAAATTTTTTATATACATATTCTGAAGTTTAAGTGAGATAGTAAATACATTTTTTCTCTTAATATAAAAGCACAGACCACTATTACAGAAATAGTTATTTACTACAGGGTGTCTTGTAATGTCACGTATTCCTGTGAAGTGGTGGTAGATTAGGTCAAAAGCAACCGAATTTGTCCTATCATGTCTTATCCAAAAGTTAACCATTTTTGGGTTATTTGAATTTTAAGTTTTTTATTTTTTATTCCGATTTCAGACGGTTAAAATTGAAATACAAAAAAACTGCATGCTTGATTTTGAGTTTTTTGTTATCGTCGCATAGCAGACATTCCAATAGTTCATAATAAGTAATAAAATGTTGAAAAGCAACAAACGTTTTAAAATTACGCTTTTTAAATGTATCATTTTCTTTTTTTTTTTACTAACTTATTCGATAAAAAATGCAATTTTCTTTAAAAAATCTCCTAGTAATGAACTGTGCAAAGTATGTAAATAATATCTCTATCTAACAAGCTTTCATTTGAGGTATTAAGCGTTCAATTATCTGAAGTACATGCAGAGAAACAACAATGACACCCACAGAGGCTAGATTTTTAAGGAATTTGTATTACCTGTTTGAACAAGTCGTTACTGTCCTCAAAGGATTCGCATGACATGATTGTTTTATGGCATCGGCTCAACGAGGAAGCGAGCGAGAAGAGCTGACTTAGTGGAGGAGTGAGAGAGAGAGAGCTGTTATTATTCATCATTGTAGTTACGCCATCGCCGCACGCCGAGTGAGAATTAGGTTTAGTTGGTATCAACTACTGCGTGCGCGCACACGTTTTACGCACGATTATTATTTTCGAGTTTCCTAGTTCATTTCGAGTGGTTTCTTTGTCATCATGGCAGACGCAGAAGATCCGCCAGGACCTCGCCATAGCGCGCACGGACAAAGTTTTACAAATGAAGAATACGCAGACATAATGTTCTGTTATGGACTTTGTAATGGCGATTCTGCAGCTGCCCGCCGTGAATATCGGCAACGTTTCCCGAATCGCCGAACACCTCATGTTACTGTGTTTGAGTCTGTGTATCGGCGCATCCGCCAAACTGGACGTGTTCAAAGGCAACATACTGATGCTGGTCGACCCCGAGTCTATCCTCCTGAAGATGAAGAGGAAATCCTTCGTGTGTTTCAGGAAGACCCTACTACGTCTACGCGCATTGTGGCTGCTCAGTTGGGTATATCACAATACAAAGTATGGTTTACTGTGCATACTGCAAGATTATACCCTTATCACTACACGCCTGTGCATGTGATTGAAGAGGGCGATCCTGCAAGACGATTAGATTTCTGCAGGTACATGTTACATGCAGATACAGAAGATCCAAACTATGTAAAGAAAATTCTGTGGACCGATGAATCGGAGTCTGATAAGGACGGGATCACTAGCTACCATAATGCTCATTACTGGGCTGATAAAGAAGCTTTTAACCCCCGAAAAATAAGACCGACGGGGTTTCAGAGTCAGTTTTCAGTCAATGTGTGGATGGACATCATTGATAGTTATTTAATTGGACCTCATTTTCTGTCCGCCAATTTAAATGGAGAAGTGTATGAAGAGTTCTTGAAAAATCACTTGTTTCCGTTAATGGAAGACGTTCCATTGGCGCCGAGACAAAATATGCGGTTCCAGCACGACGGCTGTCCCGCACACTACAGTAGATTAGTACGGGCGTAGTTAGACTCTAGATTTCCAAATCAATGGATTGGCAGAAGCGGGCCCATTGCCTGGCCAGTAAGAAGCCCAGCTCTCACACCGATGGATTACTGTGGGGACATATGAAAAGCCTGGTGTACGATGTTTCGCCCGTACCAACGCGCGATGAATTAATTACAAGGATAATCAGTGCAGCTGACCAAATAAAAAGCCGCTTAACAACTAGAGTTACCAAAAGTGAATTACGTAAGAGAATGCGGGCGTGTATTCGTAACAGTGGATTACAATTTGAGCAGAATCTGTAAAATACTAAACGAAATGTAATTAAATAAAACTGTAATTAAAAAAAGCCTTTTATTTATCCTAAGTAATTATCGTTCGTACAACTTTACTCATCTCTTTTTAATTTTGTGTCTTTGTACTTGAGTTAGTTGTATACCTCAAATGAAAGCTTGTTAGATAGAGATATTATTTACATAGTTTGCACATTTTATTACTAGGAGATTTTTTACAGAAAATTGTATTTTTATCGAATAAGTTAGTAAAAAGATAAGAAAATCATACATTTCAAAAGCGCGATTTTAAAACTTCTATAGGTTTTCAAGATTTTATTACTTATTATGAACTATTGGAATGACCGCTATGTGACGATAATAAAAAACTCAAAATCAAACATTTAGTTTTTTGTATTTCAAATTTAACAGTCTGAAATCGGAATAAAAAATAAAAAAAATAAAATTCAAATAACTCAAAAACGGTTAGCTTCTGGATAGGACATTATAGGATAAAATCGGTTGCTTTTCACCTAATCTATCACCCCTTAATAGGAATACGTGACATTACAAGTCACCCTGTATACAAGGGAAAAAAGTACTAGATTTTAGGTTGAGGTTGTATTGTCGCATAGCGGAGAGAGACAAAAAACCGAAAGCTAGAATCTAGTATTTTTCCCGTGTATAATTCACAATATCTTCTGTGACGGGAAAGACGACGATTTAATATTGAAAAAATATATTTTTACAATATTTAAGTCAAAAATTATCGAAGTGAAATTTGAATTTTGAGATTAGTAGGCTATGTTGTATTTATAGCGACAATTAGACCTGCGTTGTAGTATTTTTGAAAAATTTAGTGAATACGATTGCGATGTGTTCCTGTACCTTTGAAACGTTACAGATCTTATGTATAAACTCTAAGCTTGACCTCCAATTGAAGTTGTCTAAGATTTGGTTTTTTATTATTCTGAAACTTTTGTGAGAACTGAGAACCGTTATTCGAGAAAATGTTTTTCTCAAGTAGGTATTTAATAGACTCTTACAAGAAAATCATTGACTGCTGGCTACCTTTTTAGAATCTAACGACAGTCAACGTAACAGTTCTCAGAGTGATTCCTGAGGAAACAAGACTACCATTCTTCTGGATCTACTTAATAGTTGCTACATTTGCACTTACAGTTAATTCATTCTCTATCAAATCTGCATTACAGAGGTAAGAATTATTATAATCCTTCAATATGAAATTACCTACTGTTTTTTTTAACGTGGCAATGTGTTCGGGACAAATGAAAAAAAAAGTTCATTTCAGTAAATCACAGTGTACCGAGAAATTCAAGAGAGGATTTTAATTGTAGAGTAAACGTCCTGGATCTGCCTTTTAAGAATGGCTCTCCCGTTTCTTTGGATTGAGTCGAGATCCATATTTGATTCTACCGGGTGTTTCAAATTCTTATATATACTTCCGAAGAGAGATCGAAAAAACGGGTCTTCCCAAAATCTTAAAATAAATTGCACATTGACATTGCCTTTTTCTCCTTTGCAAAATGCCATAATTATAACTTCAATATAACGTTTCGTCTCCTGCCCTCCAGCATTCACTTAATATTTTCTTACCTAAGAAATAACTAGATCAGTGAACAATGTATAGAGAAGATTCAGGCTTTGCTTATAAAATAACGGACAACATTTTGAATTTCTGTTATGATTTACCTCTTACGATTGTTACTGCTATTGCCATCGATAAAAGTTTCATTTAGTGGTCAGGTTTCACCATAGCTCTTTATCTCTTTCTAATTTTCGTTCTGCCAACAAATCCATGTCCAACAAAGGTTATAAATCACTGAATTTAGGAGTGAAAAGTGATGGAGGTCGGAAGAAGAATCTTCGAATGGAAATGAGTGGCAATGACAGCATGCAAAGAATTTGTAAACCCCAAACTCAAATAATGCCAGGAAAAAATAATAATGATTTTGTGAAGCAAATGACTGATAATTTGAAGGCCTACCTAGAAAATTCTGAATTGAAATAACTAAGGTGTGGGCATATCAATGTATGACATATTATACATTTTTGGAACTAAAATATAAATCTCTACTGAACCGTCCTCAAGAACATATAAAGTTGATGATAAAGGACAAGAAACGAAACGTCGTATTGAAGTTCTAATTATGCCATCTTGTAGAAGAGAAAAGGTAGCAATTTTAATGTGTTATTTATTTTTAAATAAATAAGGTCAGGAAAAAATTAATAAGATTCTGGTAAAATTTGATTTTTATAATATAATTGGAAGTATTTTGAATTTCGAAACTTTCTAACCGGCATTGTGTTAGTTACCTGAATACGCTCCCATTTAAGCGACTTCGTATGTCTTACTCTTTCCAATACCTCAGTGGTGAATTTGAAGCACCCGATATATAGAACAAAAACTTTAATATTGAATACTTTCAGGAGAGTGAATAATCTTCAGAAGGTTTGCTTAGTAAACCTAACCCTTGCTGACATATTCTCCAGCACGATGTTTGCCATAATCAATCTAGAGACATTGTGCAAAGACCTTAAAACATGGGTAATAGCCATATTCTAGTATCATCTGAAAGATTAACTACTAACTAGTAACCGCTTATAGTCTTTAGGAGAGTTCATGTGCTACTTCACGCCAGTTGCTCAAGCATTAGGAACAACGACCAGTGCCTTTACGCTTCTGTTGATAGCATTAGATAGATACCGAAGTGTTAGTGCTGTGATGGAAAGGAAATTGAACCTTGAATTATGGAAGTGCATTTCTTTAAACGTGGGGATATGGATCCTTTGTACAGGTGAGCTGGTATTGAACACAAATCACGAACGTGAAGCTAGAAAAGTTGATCCCTATGTCCTTCCCCTTGATCTCCTTGTCATAAAACTATATCTATGTTTTATTTTCAATAATGTGCGTACACTCGTACATCATGTAAAATGCACCATTCTATATGCTATACTCGTATACAATTATAATTGTATGCCTGTTCACGTATACAACGTACAAATAATGCAGATAGCAAATATTAGTTCACTTAGATCGCTTGTATATATAAAATACCTATAATTTTTTTTGAATAACTAGAAAAGGTATAAATGTAGATATTTATAATTCATATATGCAATGTTATATATGTAGTTTTAAATGAATGAGGAACATTCCTAAAATAAAATAGACTGCACAACTTAATTAGCGGGTCACTTCTTTGATGACTTATTTTAGTCCTACCAACTATCTAATTACAATGCGGATTTGAAGAAGCTTCCTCTGCACGATGCTTTGAAGCACACCGTAATCGAATAAAGAATACCTGCGCTAGGACCCTTAGAGTGCCGAAATGTTCCAAAACAAAAGCCAGAGATCTTCATGTATTTTCCCCTGCAGTGCAATGAACTAAGAAAAGCTTTTATCGTTATTTTATGATATTCTGGTGTTTACCTGAAAAGCTGTTCCGAGTGGTAACCCCATACTTTTCTAATTGAAAAGATTGGTTATCATCGCCATATTGTAGATATCCACTGGGTCAGCCCCAACCTCTGACTGTTTTTCGATTATGGATTTGGCGATAGACAGTGTAAACTGTTTTGGCTGATATAGATCGGAGAAAGTACATTTTGAATTTTGTATCTTCGAAAAATAAACTTTTTTTAAAAGCGATCTCGATGCATCGATCTTACAATTGGTGTGAATAGCTATGTCTCGCGCTACCACTCGCTGGGAAAGCTTACAAGCGGCCATCCTTGTACGGAAAGGAAGATCCTTAACATATACATGGTGTCCATTCAGTTGGTACTTTCCTTTTCAGAAACAACTACGTTTGAAATAACAAAACTAATGCGCGGTGAAACAGCGAAGAGGTAAAAAAAATAAATGAGAAAGTACTCACCATTCATCGAAAAGAAATTTCAGGTACAGCTCGATCACTTGTATTGTTCGAAGTTTTTCACGATAGATTCACATACATGTCCTAAGTTCGTCAACCATGATCACCTCAGTACACTAAGCATTTCATTATTTTTTCCAAACAAAAACAGAGTTCACGAAGAATCTTTAAAAACGATTAGCATGCACTCCCGTGCATTTTGAACTATCCGTATGTTAAAATAATGTGGACAACTCTGATATTGCTGTTATAGTTGGCCACTTTTTTTAAGAACTATGTGTAAAGGTTTTATTTACAAACACGCCCAGCGCCTAGATTAAGTACTGATCCGCATTGTACGTGTTCACGTTTCATCTGATCGACGTGCAGGACCGGCACTGGTATTACGCATCTTTTTTTACATTTCGGGTTTTTTTTTGTAACAACGTAGGTTTTTCTACAAGATGTTAACTTGGCACAAGCTGATGTGAACTCGTTTTGTAGCTTTTACGTGTTGCTTAGACGACAACGAACAGCCATCAATCATAGCGAGCAAACGTGGAATGAACTATTTGCACACTAAAGACCACCTAATCTTCAACATGACATTTCATTGGGTTTTTTGGCATTTTTGAGGTTTTTTTACATAATAGCCCTGCGGATTAGATTTTTTTAGGGTTGCTTGATTTTGCCTAACGTAATCATAGGACTTTGGTGTATATGTTACTAGAAAAAACTGCTTAATTTACCAAGATCTATATGCCATGTGAAGATAAGTCCCAACTTTGAGGATCCACTGAACAGCGCGTCTGCTGCACCTCTCACCGTCTCTTATTCAGCGAATATACCAAAGGTACAGGTCATCAAGTGTAGGAAGAGATGCAATTTTTTTAATAATGTCACGCCTTCTCGGTGCGCAGTAGCTAGCAGCTCAATCCACCGGACGAAGCAGTAGTCTCTTGTCGTGTCTAAACTAGTTAGAGTACAGTCAGGAGAAAAATTGTCAGGCAGTGAAACAACTTTATTACTTATTATCTGTGAATTGTATGTATTGTTACGAATTCGTGGGTTAAATACATACAATTTTACGCTATTAATTGTCGCAATTTATTCCTTGGTGTGCTAAGACATTTACTCGTTTATAATAGATTTTAAATCCAAATTACAACGTAAAGTTTTATCAGGACAAACTAGGGAGGTTGTAGCAGATGTTATATTCTTTGTGCAACGAGAAGCAGAAAAAAATAAACCTCTTAGAGATTTTAAGAAAGTTTAGGAGCGTGCAACCGTCGCCACGGGAGTTAGTCTATCGACTATTAGGAGGATTTCTCGCGAAATGAAATCTGTTGAAGATCCTTTTCGACACCAAACAAAAAAAGACGAAGAGCCAATCCGAAACCTGATTTCGACGAGTTTGATAGAGGATTGCTTCGTCGATCTATAATGAATTTTCACATAACGGAAAAGAAGGTTCCAACTTTGCGGTGCATACACAGGAAATTTGTTCAATTACACTGGATCACATGAAACAAGAAAAGGGATTTCGTTGGACGAAGGCAAGAACTAATAGACGACTTCTTATGGAGAAACCAGAGATTAAGCATCTCAGGAGACATTTTTTGAGAAGGATGAAAGAATATAGAGAAAAAAATCGTTCTATAATTTATATGGACGGAACATACATCCATCCATCACATGAGCATGAAAAGAGTTGGAGCGATAATACCAATGAGGGCGTTCACAAGCCAGTTTCAAAAGGACAAAGATTTATTATTATGCATGCTGTGCATCCAATATAATAAACCTAGACGAAGATAGCGATAGCGAAACCGAAGATTTAAGCTTCAGTAGTAGCTCAGATTCCGATTCCGAACTTTCGAGATTTGATCCTCTGTGAAATTTCATAAATCTTTAAAATATTGCTAACTGTATCTACTACGATGTTGGTCTTCTGACCTTACTTTTCATTTGATTGTGCATTAATTGAAATTATTAACAATTAAAAATAGAATGAGTACCAATCAATTTCAGTCCTATAGCTACATAGCGTGCAATACTTATTTTATGGAATAAATGGTTTTGGTTTCCTTATTTCTATGTTTATCTCATTTATATAAATAATAACATAAATCCGATTTTTAACCTTTCTTGGATAGCGAACAGGTGTGGAAAAAACTATTTCTGTAAAACTAATGTAATATGCAACTTCGAAAATATTGAAAAAGCAGTATATAAAAAACTTGTTTTTTAGATATAAATTTTTCAATGCTTCTGGTGGACGTACAAATTGTATTTTAAGATATCCTAATGATATACAGGGTGACTTCGAAGTTGAGTCATTTATTTTAACAGTGAGTAGATCTGATCTAAAGAAATGTTCTTTTCCTTTAACATTTTTCTGGTAAAATTAAATTAACAAAGTTATAGCCCTTTAGAAGTTTGAGTACCGCCCTGTCTCAATAATAATATTATGTGCTCGTATTTGGCAACAACGGATACAATCCGCCTTATCCGTTCATCGCATAGGAAACAAAAAAGCGAAAGAATTTGAAACGTTTATCACGATGTCAGTCAATGTGTGAGTCGGTAACGCGTGAGTGAATAGTGGTGTTTGTGTTGCGTGGCTCAAACGAAATAAAAAATGGCACATGTTTACGAAAATGCTGAACTTGTGGACATGATTCTTATTTACGGGGGGGGGGAGGGGGGGAGTCTTTACAAAATGCTGCCGCGGCATTACGGATTTGTGCGAATCGGTTTCCCAATCGAGTGCAACCAACCCCTCGTGCCTTTGTTAATGTGGTACAAAGGGCTCGTGAATCAGATGACTTAAGACCTCACAGGGGAGGGCATGCCGGTGCTCCAAGACCGCACGATCAAATACAGGTCCGCACTGAAATACTTGTCGGGAGGATACTTTATAAAACAAGGTAACATTTTTTTTTATTTTTACACACATATTTTGGTTTATCTTCCTTCTACAATCATTATCTGAAAATTAATGACTCAACTTCAAAGTCACCCTGTAGATTCATTAATTGTATATTACATACTCTCAAACTTAATTTTATAATGCACAGCATGCACACAAACTCAAGCCGTTGAACAATTATCTCGAGCCGCATGAAATACCACAGGCAATAGATAGCTTAAGATCGGGTGCTCGTGGAATTGACGTTAACGCTGACAATGATAGAACTTAGTCTTGTAACGTTAATAAAGTTACCAAATTTACAGTAATGGACTCACAAAAAGATATTTAAAAATTGTACACATGCCAACAATTTCGATTGAAACAAGCAGGCTTCACATAACACGTATTCTATTATTGAAATTATTCGACTAATTTAGGACGCAGACTGAACACTCGAGATCGAATGGCACACATTGTATGTTACGTGCCATCTCTTTTGCTTCGCATGCATTCTCCCTCTCTCGTGTGCGCAATCCCAGCAAATCGTCATATCTCTTCCTACATTTGACGAGCTGTACCAAGAAACAGGGGAGCACATACAGCGACGTGGCCAGCTTCTGTGCATTACCAACATCATTGCCCCTTGCGAAGAATAATAACAGACGTTTTTGACAGGAACGCTGAACAACCGACAACGAATGGTTCAGCATGCGAACAGTATATCCATTCTCGCAACTTGATCATTCTTGTCGCGTATAACAGCGCGAACATGAATCTCACAAACATGAGACAGTAAATCCATCACAGCATTAAAATGCCAAAAAGTATCTGTTTGCTTTTCACAAAATAAGTCATCAACCGATTCCAACCAATGGAAGTGCTCGACCTTTAAATTGACCCTCAGAAGACACAGAGACGTAATCATGACACGGCAGTTGGCAACTAAGACAGCAAGTTTGTTTATCTCTACTGTGCACTAATAATGTAGTAATGAAAAGGAGTTTTATGAGGATATTGAAACTGTTAAAAAAAACCATATCACTTCTCGTTCCTGTGTCCTATAGATAGAGGCATACCCTGTATCTGATACTTTCAGTTCAATCTGTAAGCCAGGGACAATATAGCAAAGACTGCTAGTGCCGTCTTCTATGTTATGCTAAACTCGATCCTCTGAGGACCTATGTTATACAGGGTGTTTCACAACTTATCCGACAAATGTTAACCACATATGCACTGTTACGAAAGAAGTTGATTTCTCAAAAAAAAATGTAATAAAGGTCCAACAGAAATCGGTATAATAAAATAATACAGCCTAACAGTTCACTTACCTATGAAAAATTGTCTCCATGGACTGCAATGCAAGCTGGGCGCGTCTAATCCAATTTCGGCGCACTAATACAAATACACCTCTTTCCTGCTGTACCTGAAGGCTCAAATTATCAGCAGCCACTGTGATTCGGTCACGCAATTCTTCAATATTCTGATACGGTATACCTCGTTTTTCAAGTATCCCCATAAAAAGAAGTCTCACTCTTAGGGGGTATTTTGTAGGTGGCATCGCCCGGACTCTTTGGACGTGAAAGGGTACAGTTGGGCCTCAAGTGATATGCGCCACGCTGTTGCATGTGACACTTCTAGGACCTGTTGGGCTAACTGCCTTGTGCTTATTCCCGGATTTTCTTCCAAAATATCCAAAAACAATGTCCACTAACTCCTCATTAGTGTACACATGTGCCATGTTTATTGATGAATAACGAAAAACATAAACTCGCAAAATACTTTCTTACTTAACTTCACAAAAATTGACCGTTCTTCATCCAGATCACCCACGATACAGATTAAACCTTATTTACACGTTCTTATCGGTAAGAAAAAACTTAAAAAACCCTTTTTTTGGTCATTTATTTGGTACAACATTAGCTACAATAAATTATTAATACGTGTTCTAATATCGCGAATCACGACGACGAACGCAAAACACATATTTATTTTTTAATTTATTATTGAAGCTCCGGTTGATAACTTAATTTCTGTAGGACTTTCATTCATTTCTTTTTGAGTTGTGAATCACCCTGTATGTCACAAAACTCGTTGTGTACAAGTCTTGTACCTTTCGTACATCGTCAGAGGTATCAGATGTGTTAGGCCCCCTTTCGGTTAAACAGCATGTAGGAGCTTTTGATGACGTGACTTGGAGCTATCTTCGTTAATTTGGAAACATTTCTCTAGCCCCTAAGTCTTATCTGTGTGCGCCAGAATAGTTTACACTGTCTGTGGCCAAATCCATAATCGAAAAACCCCAGAGGTTGGAACTGACGCAGTGGATTTCCACACTATGGCGATGTTGACAGATTTATTCCGAGTTGAAAAGTATAGGGTTACCTCTCAGCATGGCTTTTCGGTTGATATTATGAATATGTGTACACGTTTACAACACGCTGCTTCTCGCGATTCATCCTTTGAGAAAGGGGCGCAACAGGGTCCCAGACGTCAGATACCTCGTTCTGCCTATATTTTTGAGAAGAAGAAACATTGTAAAACCAGAATATCATAAAACAATGATACATGTTTTCTTAGCACGTTAAATTGAAGTTAAAAATTCACGTGAAGATCTCTGTTGTTTTGGGACTAGATAGGCCTCAAAACCGCATTTTAATTAGACAAGTGGTAGTTCTAGAATAAGTGATCAAAGAAGTGACTCTCAATTAAGTTCCGCATTCTGAAAACAGTATACACCACTTGACTGATTCCATTCAGCGTCGTCGTGAGAGTTGTATTCCTCCATTCCAACTTGGATAATTTCGGTTATTGACGAACGGACAGCCGACGCATCGGAGCCAGCGCCTCGAACATCTGTCCAAGGAAGCGTGGAGAAAAACTCTCTAAGTCCTTCCCAGTCAGTAATGCTAAATTTTGTGGCGAGTTACTGCTTCCACAGTCGGTCTGACTGCAACATGACCTCCACAACACCATAGTATGAGTTACCCATGGGAGATAGGACGGCAGTGTTGTAACGGACAGGATGCCTGGTCAGAAAGATCCAGCAGACTACTGGCGTGTGACGAAACACGGGGGAAAAAGTAAGGCCCCAGATGCCGCGCGGCGAGCAAATTCCCGCCAGGCTCCCCTATGCCGGGCATTCGGCCTCCACGCCGGACTACTGTGTGAAGGGCTACTGTTGTTATTGGGGCTTTCACACGGTCCGGCGCGCGCCGCTGAAGATACTTCCTAGACTATTGCGGCAGGAAATAAGTAGGTAGCATTTCAACCACCACAGGTATCAACTCAGATCCAGCCGCGGCAGGATCTGTTTTTTTGACAGAGTGGGTCTTCTACTGGAAGCTCTGTATTCTCTGATGTTAATGAACTAGCAAGGTATGGCAAAACGTGAGTCAAATGAAAATGCTTGGGAATTAGGATTTTGCGATGTTCGTGTTAATAATATGTTGTTATTTGTAAGTAGTATATAAATCAAAAACTCACTCTATATGACGATTGCGGCAGGTTATGTTGACATTTCCGACGCTCTACCCGCACTAGATTTTCGAGAGCTCTCTGAGAGATACACCCTCCTCAACGACTGTATTGACTTCATCCGAATACGTGTCTTTCCTTAGGCAGTTTAACCTTCTAGCTCTAGTCTTCGTGAGTCAGATCATTATGATCAAATGACATATATAATTTAAATTTTTTACTGAAATGAAAATAATTATAATAAGCCATATTTATTTAGCATCAGAAAATACCGACTACCATTTTGACGTAGAATATATAGGATGATCGACTCGAAAAATATAACTTTTTGCGACTGCACTTTTCTGATACACCATGTATATAAAATATACACTTCTTTTAAAGCTCCATATTGACCCTACAACTTTTATCTATATCATTTTTTTCAAAAGGTCATGCAAAAAAGATACGATTTATAGTGAGACAACCGGTTTTTTCTCTGTTTCAGCAATATCACTTCCGTTATCTTCTTTCTACAACTACGCACCAATTAAAGTGATTTTCCCCAGCAAATCAGAACCAATATTTCAATATAGCGCTATGTGTGTTGCCATTCGCAGAAGCCGTCTGACATCTTATTACGTTGTCATCACCTGGATGGTAAGTATATAGCGCCAGGGCCGTATGCTGCGCTGTTCGATATTCGTCCGCCGGCGCGCATGACGTCACGCGGAGAGTGATTGTCATCTGGGTTGATATGGATAACGTGCATATTTTCACCTACAGGCCAAACGGCTGGACGGATTTTCACATATGAGGTATCGTTGAATTCGTCTTAGCGGTGCGAGTAACACCAGCTACATTGAAATTTTATAAAAAACAAAATGGTGGATTTCAATAACAGATTTCAACTTGTAATTCCTACTTTATAGGCTACAGATCAAACGGCTTGATAGATTTTCACATATGAGGTGTCGTTGGATTCGTCTTAGCATTACGAATGACACTGGCTACATTAAAATTTTATACAAAACGAAATGGTGGATTTTAATGGAAGATTTCAACCCTGTAATTCCTTTTTCACAGGCTACAGCTTGAACGGCTTATAGCTCCACGATAGAGCGTATTGTCTCTTCACTGTGAAAACAAGATAACTCCTTTTTTCTACATTACCTATATTTTAGTATGTTCTGTGGAGCAGGATTAACATGTTCATGTCATAATACTGTACTACATTTATCCTTATTCCACAGAACATCCTAAGTACATGTAAGTGTGAAAATGTACGTAACTCAAAAAGTAGAAGAATGGAGTGATCTTCTGTTTGCAGTAAGGTGGTGGTATAACAATAAATGGAAATGACTTAGTCTAAGCAACAACTTTTTTCCATTTCCTTTTACGATTTTTCTGGTCTTTCAAACTTCTATTCAGTTCTTAGATCCGGAAGGACATCCTTGACCTGAAGAACAGTTTTTTAACTTTTTCAGGGCAGTCAATGCTGCTGCTCTTCAACAGAAGTTCACCTTTAAAATTTTCTTTTTTGTCACTATTTCGTCCCCATTGAATGTAGTGAATACCTTGATCAGCTTTTCAGTGTGATTCATGACAGTTGCGGAAGGTTTTGATAATCCACCCTCACTAAGATGGTCTATCCAGGAATAAGTTTCATTTGAGGAACTTTTCAACCTTTCATCCTGCAATTTATTGCAAACAAAGCCGGCCAAATTTTCCAGCCCGTCATTTATTCGACACAACGCAGATCTGCGAGTGCTGTACTACCGTTTGAGGCACTCCTGTGGCATATATGAAATACCTGTACCGCCCTATGCTCCAACGGATATTAAGTCCGTTGTGGAGAACGAGAGATGCTGGATTTACTGGAATTCATTGTTCCCCACACGGTCGAGCTGGCACACCAAAAACATTGCCTCGAAGGAAGAAGAAAAACGGACCAAGTATCAGAAGCTCCTCAATCAGCTTTACTGGCTTTGGTCAGACCATACTGTCAGTTGCTGCTAGTTATGGTCACTGGATTCTTGGGTGGGATGAGGAATACATTCCTTTCTGCAATAAAATCCATACCGGTATGAAGGGCAAGGGTAAGCATCTTGGCAGGGGTAATGCAGAGAGCAGTCATCCTCGGTTCCCTTCGACTAGGGCACACGATTTGTGGATCAACTAGTTGCTTACCTCCGGTGTGAGGAATAGCTAGTTGGTAATGGAACAGCAGCTCGGTGTGTCCTAGCACAAGTTGCCTGTTTTGCTTTTTGTTTCCTCTGTCATGTTTGCCTCAAAGAAATGAAATTGGGCAATTCTACGATATGTCCACGACATTACTACACTATTTAGGGCGTTTATAGTATACTAAGTGACATATAAATCCGAACACCCAGTTTAAATGGTTTTATTTTAATAAAAGTTGGTGAATGTATTTATCTTACTGTAAATAACAAGTGAAAAAATTTTCATCCTTATCAGTTGGACATTCCGGTTTTTATACTGCTTTTTTTTTAATTCACTAACGCTCTAAAAATGAATATTTCAGCCGCAGTAAAGAATCAACCTTGGCGGATTTTGGTTCTTGACATCCTTTACGATCGGTTACGATGCCTAGAGTACGGAGACCTGTACGATTTCGTCAACTTAGTGAGTTTGATAGGGGCCGTATAGTGGGACTTCGGGAAGCTGGACTTTCTTTTCGGGCAATTGCAGTTAGAGTGCAAAGAAGTGTAGACACTGTGGTTAGGTGTTGTCAGGCATGACTTCGAGAAGGCCGTACGCAAAGAGCAAGGGGCACTGGACGCCGCCGTAGAACAACAGACCGTGAAGATCGCCGCCTAAGATTATTGGCCTTAAGGGACCGTTTCTCCACTACCAGGTCCATTGCAAATGAATGGTTTGCAGAACACGGAAGACCTATTGACATGCGAAGTGTTTACCGACGAATGAGAAGTTTTGGCTTGTTTTCATACCGGCCACACTGGGTCCTCCCTTTAACTCGAGAACACCGACGTAATCGCCTTGAGTGGTGCAGACAACGGTCACTCTGGGATCAGGAATGGAACAGTATTGTCTTTAGTGACGAGTCTCGATTTTGTTTAGGCATGCACGATGGTCGTGTAAGGGTTAGAAGGCGACGTGGTGAAAGGAGGAATCCACAGTTTTTTGTTGAAAGACATGTTCATCACACTGTTGGAGTTATGGTTTGGGGTGCTATAGCTTATGGTTCCAGGTCACCTTTAATCTTCATCAGAGGTAACATGAACGCGCAGCGTTATATCCACGAAGTTCTAGAACCCCATCTTTTACCCTATCTTGACACCCTGGCAGATCCAACTGTCCAACAAGATAATGCCCGACCACATGTTGCAAGAGTTACAATAGACTTCTTTCAACATAATAATGTCACATTGTTACCATGCCCACCAAGATCTCCCGACTTATCCCCAATTGAGCACGTGTGGGATATGATGGGTAGGAGATTGCTCAATTTGCAACGTCCTCCTCAGACTCTAGAAGCACTTCGAGAGGAGTTGGTGGTTGCCTGGAATGAGATACCACAGGAGAACATTGACCACCTGATCAGAAGCATGCCTAGGCGCGTTGGAGAATGCGTAGCACATCCACATCCACACATCCACACATTATTAAAGGTCAAAGCGCTCTAAAGCAGTGCAATCATTTTGAAATTTTTATCATTTACTTATTATGCTTCATTAAGTACTTATACAAAATCTTATTAAAATAAAACCATTTAAACTGGGTGTTCGGATTTATGTCACTTAGTATAGTATACAGCTGAGGACGTCAAAGGTAACACTTATTTTTTTTTTAGGTATTTCTACCCATTCTGATTTTTTTCGCCTGGTTTTACTGTAACGTCGCTCTCAAAATTTGGCACTACCGTAAACCAACATCTACCGTGGAAGGAACCAATGAGCGTTCATCCTACTCTACTAACACGGGCAGCACAAGGATTCCCAAGACCAGGGAAGACGTTCGAGTAGAGAAGAAAGTGAAAACTATGAAAATTGTTATCGGCCTCATGGTTTGCTTCATATTATGCCGGTTGCCATATTACCTATTCACTACTTTTTTACTGATCAAAGTTTCTGGATCTAAAAGCGCTTGGAATGCATACTTTGCACTAAATTGTTTACTGCTGCTCAATTGTGCCTTAAACCCGTTGATGTACATTTATTTACACCAGACGCTTCGATTTCTTGTTTTCATAAAAGATTTGATCAAGAGATGCATCATGTGGTGCTGCTTCACTACAGACCTGGAAGAATTTCAAAAGGATAATCCGTTCCCTTTTGAGAATTATGAGTGGAAAAAATATTAGAAATGTAATTTATATAATATTGAACAAAAAATAAATGTAATTGACGAACACTATCAGTATGCCTCAACCATGTGTGGATCGAGTACTGCTTGTGTGGACCTCCAATTGTTCAGTAAAATTGTCTATGTTCAAACTGAATACAGAGATATGATACTAAGACTCCAAGATTTCTCGACCAAATAAAACCACATATGTATAAATTACATTTTACTGATTTTTACTACCACTTTCGGTAAATTTATTTGTATTCCAGGTGACAATTCGTTGTTTTTTTTCATTTTATGTGACAACGACAAAAAATACACCTAACCACTCCAAAGCGACAAGCGAGCATGAGTTATCTGTTGTTTTTGATATTCGAAACACATCACCCTCGCTCACCGTCCCAGAAACGTCCTCTGAGAACGTGGAAACCCACCCTGAACTGTTGTCGCAGTCGACTATTATGCAATATCCGACTACTAATGCTGCTCAAAGCACCATGTTAAAAAAAATATGATATCATAGTTTGACCTTGAGATGGTGAAACAAAATATCTGCACAATAACAAATTATAAAAAAACTAAAAGTGAAAAATATATGTTCCACAGTCAATAAATAGTAATTTATACAAATGTATATGTAAATAAATTGAGCCAGGATCTGTCATTTTTGGGGAAAGGATTAAACTCTGAAACCAAAAAAATCTAGTTCAAATATCGACGTTTTACTTTATTCTATAAATTTACATAAAAAATACTGAAGTATTGTACACTTCATTACAAATAATTTCTTTCAATTTCCATTAGCAAGTTCTTCTTTCTCCTTAGCTTTCTCCTTTTCCTTCACGACCAGAGCAGCAATATCAATTTTATTGCGTTCAAGGAACTTCTTGAAATCCTTGCTAGCGGTCTCTACCAGATTAATCAGCTTTTCCCCGGCTGGAGTAGTACTTTCGTTCTTCAGTACTTCTTTGGCTTCCTTCAGGCTCATGTCGCACTCCTCAAACATGGTCACCATAGACTTCACTTTAGTCTTGATACCTAGATCCCATTTCCGTTTGATAAGGATCCAGTTGGCAAGGTACAATTCATGTAGAATCACTCCACTGTACAGAGGTAGTCTGAAATAGGTCAAACATTGTAAATAACCTGCTACAGAGTGAGCAGTACACCAACTGCACACTAACATTACCTCTTTTTCTACTCTACTGGATGCCATAAGTAAAATTTCAATATGAGGTTTCGTCTCCTGCCCTCAGTCATCAACTTTATCTTTTGCACCCCATTTTACCAACAAATAACATAGTGATTTTTATTGAATGTACCAATCAAAGAGGCTAGATATGCTTAAGCAGAAATTGAAACCTTAAAGCGAAGTGGCGAAATGTATTCTAACAATTTTCTTACTTATTGAGGTTCTGTTTGAGCTGGGCGGCAGCACTCCAAACATGTGAGCAATACTCAATATGTGGGCCTTGTACAGAGTGAGAAGGTCAAGGGGAAAAAGTACTTCTTGACCCTAAACAGCCTAGCTTTTTCCCTGCAGCTGCTGCTATTGGCGAGATGTGTTCATGCCAAATCAAATCCTCAGTGATCGGCACTCCGACCAGCCGAACTGAATGTCTCTTTGATAGAACTCGGCCATCTACGAGCCCCTCCCCACTTCAGTTGGCAAAATTATTGAAATCTTAGTTTTTTTCTTATCAAACACAAATAATAAAAATGTAGCAGGGTGTTATAGGTTTAAAATATTAACAATGAATATTTTGATAATATATAGTAGAAAACACCAACTTTATCACTCCCTAATCAAATTTGCAGCATAAAAATGTTGTAATTACAGCATATCAACCTATTTTCATTTCAATGCAAAATAAGTCTATAACGCATAGGTGGCTGTGAAAAATAAAAGCCATGACAATTGTTTTTATTAATCACAGCTGTCAGAATACGTTGAAAATAGTTTTGGGTAGTTAAGGTTTTCAAAATGGGTAGAGGAAAGGTTATTAGTGAGAAAATTCGGTTACTGATAATTAAATTTTTTAATTCTGGGAAATCAAACTCAGAAATTGCAACTTTGTTAGACTTATCGCGGTATGAGAAATATTGTTAGAAGATATACGTAACTGGTTCAGTTAATATTAAGCCACGCTATGTGAAAGAAAGTAATATCACAAATGACGACCGAAGAGCATTAAGAAGAATGATCGTGAAAAACAGGCGTGCCAATTATTTACAATTAAGTGCTCTGTGGAGTGACGCTGTTGGAAGGAGAATTTCCACAACTCATAGAGATGCCAACAAACTGGGATTTAGCACTTGCAAGGTAAGTTTTCTTATAAAAAAAGTGAAGTAAAAACCCTAAAGTTGCACAACTTGTTTATAGGCCAAAGAAAAGCCACTATTAACTCCACTGCGAAAGAAAAATCGGCTTAGATGGGCTAAAGAACATAGACAATGGACACCTCCTCAACAATGGTGTGCAATACAATGGAGTGATGAGGCCCGATTCGAAGTTTGTGTTGGTGACAGTCGCAGTAGAGTTATTCGCAAATAAATGAAGCATTCCATGTTGACTGTCTTAAGAGAAAAGTGTAATTTCCAGCATCCATTATGGTCTGGGGCAGTATGTCATCAAAAGGAGTAGGAAAACTTCATTTCATTGATGGAAATGTGGATACAAACAAATATTTGGCAATTTTAGAAGAATCGCTTTTACCAGTGATGGAAAAATGTTTGACATCCGGCCAAGATGTTGTGTTTCAGCAAGATGGTGCAGCGGGCCATACCTCAAAAAAGGCTATAAAATGGATGGAAGAAAATAATGTACCTCTTTTGAAATGGGTTTCTAGCAGTCCAGATCTGTCGTCTATTGAAACTTTGTGGCACGCACGAGATGAAAAAGTTTCTACAACATCCTGCTCGTACAATCACCGAACTGAGACAAAAGCTTCAAGAAATATGGGACTGTTTTACACCAAATTTTTGCCAAAACTTGGTTAACACTATGCCCCAAAGAATTTCAGTCGTAATAAAAAATAAAGGTGATGTTACCAATGGTAATCTTTCAATTGTTGCTTTGTTAACTTCGCGCGTTTATTCGCACATTGTTTATTTGTTCAGATGTTCTATTAGTTATAGGTCTAAGTGATTCAAATATGTATTTTTTACGACTAGAGTGTATCTAAAATGTTTTTGAGAAAATAAATTGTTTTAGAAGTAAATAGTTTCGTCATGTTTAGTTTATAAAGGCATATTTTGGTGCAAATCTTGAAGAGGGCCAACTGAAGTGGGACGAGCGCTAAGACGCTTCTTGTTAGTCATAGTATAGTGCCGTGTTTGGGAAGCATTAAACTGTACAAGCTTCTTGAGTCTTCAAGCAGTGATAACCTCCAGGTCTCTCGTCAGAGATGAGGTGCCTGCTAGTCTTCTTTTCTCCAGCTCACTGGCAGAGATTGGGCTGTCACTCTGAATTAGTGTATGTAGAATGCTGACAAAAGCGAAGCTGTGGATTGGATTGATCGAATAGGAAAGGAGATCATTGATATGTAGGAGTAACAATGTCGGAGGCACGATCGATCCCTGGCTTGTGGGAAGAATAGCAGAACCTGTCAATTACGGTTGCGCGGTCTTCCCGATACTTGAAATGTATCCAATGATATCCGATACCTACCTTGCATTCCCTGGATCAATTTTCCTTGTAATATCCATAAGCTCTCTGCACATCATCGCTTTCCTGGTCAAACAGTCGTCCGTGATCTGACTTGGAGTGTAGCCTTGCTGATACCTGAGGATTAAACCGATTATTTAGAAATGACACACTACCAAAATATAATGCAATCAATAATAGTTCTGGCATAGACACTCATCCTTATCTTACGTTTGGCTTATCAAGCAAGTCGAAATGCAACAGGCTGGCAGTCATACGGCCTGGACACAGCGAATATTCGCAAGGTACGAACGGCGAAGCGTCCAGCGACTGAAACAAACGCATACAAATGTAGTTATCATGCCACGCGCAGCGGCGAATGGCGAAGCGACCGGTGAAATGTACCGAGCGAACCGGGCGAGCGACTGGCGGCGCGGCGGGCGAGTGAATCAAAGGCATGAATCACTACGGCGCAAGCCACGGAGTCGAGCGGCAGTCGCGTCGAATAGTATGAACAAACTACTTTAGTTTTTTTGCCCAGAAAAATGAACACCGAGGCTTTTATCACTGAAGTACTTGCGAGGCCAGCTATTTGGAAGTCTGGGCACCCACAGCACTCAAATAAATAAAATATCATTGTCAAGTATTTTAATTGCATGAGATATTAATATACAGAGTGACATTTAATTAGCTAACCATATTTTTTGCAATGATGGTTCCGAAAAAATTTAGTTATGAAAAAATTATGTTTGCGACCATATGTATTTTCGGGAAAGTTGTTTATATTGATGGGTACTGTCATTCCCCAGGTAACTCTCTAGCTTAGCTACACCAGCCTTTTTTGTTTCTCCATCCAAGTAGGCACTAGGTTTAATGAGAAATGAGATTAAAAATGCCAGCAAATGTGTTAGTTGCAGAATATATTTTTGTTATTATCTGGGTTTTTAGAGAGATAAACACCCTCTTAATCACGACATTTCCAGAATGGAAGGGATACTATACATATCGTGACGTTGCCATATGCAAGATATATAAGAAAATTATCGAAAATATGCATTTCCACGCCTACCAGCTCCCCTTCTAAAGTATATTCAGATAAGAGATAGACCGGATGTAAACAAAAGGTTCGGGTGATTTTCACGCTAACGCCGCCGTCTCGACGTAAAACAGGAGCCCTCATTGGTCAATTCGCAATTAAATGCCTATGCCGAGCGGCAGAGCAGTCGTATCAAGGCAGAGTCACATTCAGGTTCAGACGTGTTACGTATATCATGTGCATCATTGCAATTTGATATTTCTTTGGACGTTTTCGTTTGTTATCTTATTAAGTTGTTGAGTTTGTCGTTGTTATTGTTATACCTTGTTATTGATAGTTATTGTTATCAACTGCTTGCGCAAAATGCCCAGTAGTACAGATACTGCCGATGAAGTTGTAAACTCCTGTAGTCCACCTAGGAAACGCTCTAAAAAAAGACACCTGAGTGCAGAAATGAAAGAGGTCATTTTGAATATATATAAGATCGAGCGCGAGGAGAACGAGGCATCAACCATCAAAGAAATTGTTGTGAAGGTTTCTCACAAAGTTGGGGTGTGTCGCGCATCAGTGTTTAATGTCTTAAGACAATACAAAAAAAATCACACCTTTTCTGAGCCAATGACCAGTAAACATCGCAAAAGTATTGTTAAATCATTGGATGAAGCTGATAAGCATGCGATTAGGAGGAAAGTGCATGAATTCTTCTTTAGGAATGAAATACCTACTATAGATAAAGTACTGCAGGAGGTAAATGGAGATACAACGTTGGCAAATTTCAAACGATCAACTTTCCATGCGTTACTGAAGCATCTAAATTTCAAATGGAAAAAACGGGGTCGTAATAGTTTACTACTGGATAGAGAAGAAATTGTGCTATGGAGGAGGGATTATTTAACAAAAATTGGGAAATATAGAAACCAAAACAGGAAGATTTATTACCTTGATGAAACGTGGGTAAACGCAGGACACACTACAAGTAAAGTATGGGTTGATGATTCTGTAACTTCATCCAGGAGGGCCTTTCTAGATAGACTGTCCACCGGATTAAAAAATCCAGCAGGTAAATACGAGTAATAGACAACAATCGGAACAAGTCGAGCCATTCATTATTGACGTTGGTGCTTCAGGCAGTAGGGATGATGAAAGCTCATCAAGCTCATCTTTCCAATAAAAGATGTCGTTCATCAAATTCGGTAAGTTATAAGTAATTATAAAGCTACTGTATTTTTTAATTAATTATTGACATTTTTGAACCCATTTTGGCAAAACCTATTCAAGAATCTACTTTCTGACAATGTTCAACCATGCACATTTTTTTACGTTTTGAACGTTTTAATTTGGTTACATATTTACCTAGAAATCAAAAAATATACTAATCAATATTCTAAAAGCAATTTTAACAGATATACGATTATTTTTAATTTAGGCTAATTTAAACGCCATTTTGAGATTATATTCGACTGTATTTCACCAAACATCAGGCGGCATCCGAAGCTGGAAATCGAAGCGAAAATTTTGAAACCCTTATGTATATTTACATCATTATATATTTCTTACCCCACCCCCACATGATCCTATATCCATCACCAATCGTATACACATCGAATTGTGCTAATTTACTACAAAGTTACGCAAAGCAGCATCTACTATCTAAAATATGTACTGCGTGACTCTTAATACGTCCCTGCCGAATGTTACAGCGTTCGATGATCACGTGGTCTTGTTTATGTCCGGTCTATCTCTTATCTGAATATACTGTAGTCGAGAATTTCTCCCTCTGAGTCACGGCGCACTAGGCATTATTTAAGGTTGTGTGAAGTTCGAAGTCATACATACAAATTTAATCATTAAGAATATCCATCAACACGAAAACCTACGAAGTATTGAAATCTGGCAACATCACACAGTCTTTGAAAACAAACATTCAATAAAAATCTATTATATAGTAAAATATATCAGAACTTTAATGTTTGCGCTCATGTCCAGTCTCATTTCTTTCATCTACACTCAAACACTAGTGTCTGAAGTCATGTTTTTATCAAAAACGGCTAGTTTAACTAAGCTAGAGAATTACTATTCCCTAAAATATGCTCAGCTAATTAAATGTCATCCCTTATATAGATAGGTATGTACATACTTTAATGTCAAAAACAACTTTTCAGTGACACTTAAAATTCTATCTGCATTGACTTTTTTACAATTCTGGTTGAATATTAATTAGAATATAATCGATATAATCATTCTGCTATGCTCAAAAAAAAATTTCTGGACACATTCTGTATTTCTCGTACTTGTGGAATTATCCGCCTCTACCCCGAAACCTGTTCAACTCATTTTCTCCACAATCTCTTCCATATATTGTGTTGAACCAAAAAACTATTAACTTCTAAGCAATATTGAAATAATGATCAAGGCATTCCTCTATCGGACTATACTAGTCGCAGCGGCGATCGTGACTGCCCGTGGCCGGCTAACTGTGCCGCCCGCCGCATCGTCGTTCGCGCCGCTCGTCCCCGTGGCCAAGCCGTTAGGTTGAATTTAAAGCTGACAACAAAAACGCATAATTTGATACCACAAACACACTACGTCTTGCTTAACGATCAGGACCGGCTTCAGATTTTTGTGCGCCCTGAGGCAAATGATGAAATATACGCCCTCCTCCCATATTAATCGAGAATTTTGCGCTCCTCATGACAAGCTGCACCCTGAGGCCTCGTTGCCTCGCTTACTTTCCATCTGTAGCCGACCCTGTTGATGATTTAAGCTCGCATGTCCCTTTTTTTCAACTGCATGTTTGGAGCAGTTTTCTTAATCCTTTTCATCTGATTATTTCATCGCATTTTTGCAATAGCCTGTTCGGAGGAGTATTCCCAATACTTTCCGTCTGATTATTTTATGGTGTGTACAGACATGACTAAAAAGCAATGTTATCATTTTTCGTAAAAAAAATGCATTTTTTTAAATTTTATTGTGCATGTTTTCTTCAATCGTAACTTGTTAACAGCACTGAGATTGTATGTTAAAATTCCATATTTATAGTAAAGATGTGCAGGTGAATACTTTTACTCTTATCACTTTTTCTCTTCGAAAAATCTTTGATTTTATTGAAACCTCATTTTTCTGCAAATTAAGTTTTAATAAAACCAAAGTAAGACAAAAGTAACAATTCGCTCAATTCTTCCATAAAAGTGGAATATTCCATACAACTTTAGAGCTGTATTATTTGTTAACAAGTCACGATTGAAGAGAGAATGCAAAAATGCATTTCTTTGACCAAAAAGAAACTGATAACATTGTTTTTCAGTTATCTCGACACACCATGAAACAATCAGATGAAAAGTATCAAGAATACTCGTCCAGATAGGCTGTTGAAGAAAAGGGATGTGCCACGTTCAAACTCTACAAGTCAAACGTACAATTTGCATGAGTCTCTATGCCAGCCTTTACGTACTGTCCTCAGGATAATAATTATATACCTTATCAACCTCTAAGGTCTATCAGTATCAGATCATTATAGCAACTGCTAACCAACTATCGGTATTCCTGGCGATTGATTGTACTGAAGTGGTCTGAATCATGAATAATTACGTTTTTTGAGTCAATTTACAAATGTGTGTCTCTTTCAGATCTTCAAGTAGTTCCTAGGAACTCGGAAATTTTAGACAATAGCTCTGAGGACTGTACGTATGCAACGTAAGGTGTTTACATACCCGTAAAGTTGAATCAAAGAATGCTTAACTGAATACACGTGGTAATGATTTGGATGTAAGAAGGTGAGCATCTTGTTCAGCAGCGATTCTAGCTCTCTGACTGTAGGATTCGACAGTTGAACATTGTCTACTTCTTCGCCGATGCCGTTCACCAAGTAAGATACTTCGGCGTTGGTCAGTTTCACTGGGCACTTGTCACATGTCCATTGGGTCTCATCGTTTGTGGGGTCTAAAGGAAGTTGTGTTCCACCACAAGGTTCATCATCGGTACCTGCGGTATTACAACACAGGTGATTAAGTCATAACAAGTGATATTAATATTCTAAGCTAACATAAAATTTTAATAGAAATGTCTCTTGTCTGTTGAATGCTCATAAAACTGGTCTGTCACACTCAGAAAATCTGCAAATAAGGACAAGTCAGTGTTGATTGATCGATACTAGAGGTCGACAGTGTGAGATTTGTTGGCGTTCACTTGGACTGGAACTAGAAAACTGCACCACAGTCATCAAAAATGCATAGCATCTGTGCTTTAATTAATCGCCTCCGCCATCAAATTTCGGTTGCATCACATCGACAATTTTGCTTCACATCAGTTCAATCTTTGATTGCATATAGTGTTATATTTTGGAGTTCTTCACGGGAAGCATTATCAGTTTTTATAGCTCTGAAACGTATAACTAGATGCATGCTCAAGCTGCATCCTTAGACGCCATGAAGATTTTTTTGAGAAATTCTGTTTTTTAACTGCGCCAAATTTGTACTAGCTCTCACTTGTCATGTTCGTCCGGAAACAAATATAGTCAAAGTCATTGTACTTCTGACCGAAACGTTTACAACAGATTTTTTAACACGTGTGGTATCGATTGACCAAAGAAATATGAGGGATTAATATTTAGTTATGTTGATTCTCATACTAGCTGTTATTACCTACCAATACATTTAAGAGCACTCAAGTAAGACCCCAATTCTGTGGGGTCACTGCAGCGTACGCACTTGCAATCGAAGTACTTGGTTTCCCGAAGGTGTTCCCTCCTAGCCTGAGTACCCCACAAGCAATGAGTGTACATTGTAGATATATGTTCACCGGTGTTTATTGGTAATGCAGCCTTAACTGTTATTTTGTAACTGTAACAATTATATAACCATTAAATCAGCTACTCCGTGCTTTGAAAAGTTAAGATATCACCTTCGCCAAAATTCTTTCATTTCCCAGTCAAAAGGAAATTGTTAAGCCAGGATAATTAGCCCCAAGCACATGTTGAACATAAAAATAACTTAAAATAGGCAAGGTTTTCCGCACGGTAGTCAAGTAAATTGAATATTTACTCGATTTTTATAAAAGAAAAAGCATTCCGTAATTCTAAGTATGTCTTCAAATAGTTTATTAAGCAGAATTTTGTACAGAAAGGACAAAAATCAATAAACTAGAGTGATTGACATGTCAGAAACCTGTAAAGAGAAACAATAGGTCTTTGTCGGGCATAGATATGTCGATTTGTTTTCAAAAATACACCGCTTTTTGGATTACTGCTCTCAAGTAAGTAGTGACACTATTATTTTCAATAAAATGCTCCGTAGTGGCTGTCATACTGTTGTACTTGATCTTCCGAGCAGGGCACTCACGCTTCTTTTTGAGTGGTCGAATTTATGACTATATCGCAAACGCTGCTTTTTGTTTGGTGCAGGTTATGCCGTAGTCGTTACGTGTTTGTGTTCGGGCACAAATGGAAAAGAGGTCTTTGTAGCTAAACCAAGTGATATATGAAGTACTGATTTGATATGAGAATATGGGGTCCATCTTACACAAATCGTATAATTTTTATCTACCATTTTCGACCATATCTACTAAATCCATTGCTTCAGAAACGCCTCCTCATTGTTCGAATTTGAGCCATAGGTGCAAATTTTGCAAGTAAAATCGGGCCTTAGGAACCGAAAGATCGAATACAATTAAAAAACAGATACCTACCCATTCTTATCAAATATATGTGTTGTATTCGGTAAGCAGTTGTGTTCCATGAGGTATGCAGTGGGGTATAGAGCACTAACTTCTGCATCCATGTTCACTTCAAGACCATTCACGTCAATAACACCACAAATCTTATGGATGGTTTCCCTGGATATATCGTGGAGTGCCTGTTTACCAGTCCTGCCTTCCAGAATCTTCATTGGAGCAAAAAAATTGTCGATGAGGTAGTCTGCTATCCTACTGTCAATGTCTCTGAAAGAAAACTGTCGACTAAGTTCCAATTGTACGCAAAAGTGAAGTCTGGCAGCGAAATACAGGAGTACTACTAGTTCTATGAGGAAATATGAGATAATACTGGTTTTGATCTACCTAACGTTCACAATAGTACAAAATACTGATCACGGTTTGGACTAACTTTTCGGTGAACTATCATTTTGTCGAACAAACAGATCATTGACACCCATTATTATGATGTTTTCAAAACCGTATGAGGCCATTTATGTGTCTCTCCATGTGATACGGAATGACTATTGAAGCTTTAAAAACAGGTTTAGAATGTTTGAGGCTACTATGTACGAGATTCACAAATAATTTGCAAAATTTGTCAGGGATATCGATAACTAATCGCATAGCAAGGAAAAAATATAAAGATGATACTTGCACTGAGATCGAGTTAATGTTTTGGATCAAAAAGCCAACTTTTTTGGACTCCCCCATTTCAAAAGCTCTACTAATAAAAGGACTGGCAAATTTGCCCTTATTGTAATATACACTGAAAACCAAATTTGTCTGACGGCTTGTGTTGAGAAGTGTGTATAAACATATAAACACATATGCTGGAAAGAGATTGAAGCCGGCTAGATAGCGAAGCTCATCATCGCTCATCATCGCCTAACAACGCTGAGGCGGCAATCTACCGCGCTGCCAATGTTACACCATTTCCTTGAATTAAGATGCATGTCGAAAATATGTGGTTTATTCTCTGCCCCCAAGTAATGCTTTTATTTGGAGCGTACACATTTTGAACTGTGAATTGTGTCGCTTCTGCTTAGGATCGATTCCGGATCGGCCCTGACGGCGCTCCATTTTGGGTGGAAATGAAATGTCAGGATCGTCACAACTCCTGCATTGGTTCGCTTGGTAATACCGGGTCTCGAACATTCTAATGCAAGGTTTCCATCTCCATGATCACAGATGAGTGATTTTGGTCAGTACCCATCTAGCGCTCTTTGGGAAGTGTCGTCCTGCTTCGAAATGGTTCTCACCTGCATACACGCAGGCAGTCATAATTTGTATTAAATATGATATTTGTTACGTTTCCCGACCGCTCGCTATCGCAACATGTAACAATAACTCAGGATATTTTGATTTTATATATTATTCTAACATTAATTAAAACACTAAGTCGCATCAAAATTGAAATAAATAACTCTATAATCGAAATGAAAACAAACTATTAAATTAAATATTCGAACAGACCTTCTTCTTGGGTTTGACAGTAACTTAAACTATTGTAGAAGCGTGTACATAGTCTGGTGTAACATATTAGCATAGCGGCAGATTCCACGACCTTCTGCGTCACAGTCGCTAGACAATGTGGTGCTGACCTTCGCTCTTCAGCCGGCTTCTATCCCTTTCTAACATGTGTTGATACACATTTCTCGTACTTCTCTCTCGTACACATTGAGCTCAAGCAGTCAATCAAATTTGGTTCTCCGTGTATATACAAATATTGTCTGATATGAGAGTGATTAATTAATCCCAAAATGTGCAAAACAGCAGTTACTTCGCATGTTTCAAGTTTGTAAGCTCGTATGTTTTGTAACTGATGATCGAATATTTGCTAAGTCTCCAAATGTCTGGCTCCAGGTCCAGAATGGTAATTTTAGCTACGTACCTAGAAACACTGTATCATAATTATATATCTGACAAATTTTGTGTATAAGTTTTCGAAACTGTAGATAGTAACCTCACACATGTTAAACCTGTTTTTAAAAAACACGAAAATAAGACATTTCGATTATCCTGGTCAGATATATGTTTATATTTAGCAAATTTCCACAACTGTCTTTTAATCAGGTCGATATAAAAATACTGAAAAATATACGAGGCATTTTTCCCGTTACAAAAATAAAATTTTACACAGTTTCTTTGGTCAAAAGCACGCCTATGCAATTTCCAAGCTTCTTATGGGATAAATTCTGCACTAATGTTCGAAACCCATCAAATCGAGGAGCCTAAACATATCCATTAAAGTTGCATTGACAATTGAATTATGAGAGCTACCATTGGTTAGTAGAAATGTGGGAAGTTTCTCCTGGAGCCCTTTTAGATTGTTCCACATTCTTGAGTAAGGTCTTTGGTGTTGGTGAACTCAATGCTGTGATTGCTTTATCTCTATTACGAGATTTTCAAGACCACTTCAGGGTCAAATTACGAAAAAACAATAACAATCTTGAAAAAATGTTAACTGTATTATTTTGAGTCGCTGTATAAAAAGGTAGCGTTTTGTTTGCCCGATCAGGTCATCCAGTTTGACCTTGAAATAATCTTGAGCAATCTCTGGATGACCTTCTTTCTTAAAATAAATACCAGATTTGGATTCAGCTACCCTGGAAATCGAAATGTTGATTACAGATAGATTCTTTTCACATTTGTTGACACTTTGACCTTTGAATACCCTCAGTTAGCGATTTCTAAAACGCTTGTGTCAAGGTTTTCAATTAGATGCAGTCACTCTTACGGAACAACCTTAATGTGATCTTGAAATAACCTCTAAACCTCACCGGTTGAAGCAAACGCCAGATTTGGATTCAGACCCACGAAGAACCTGCAGGTGGTGGTTTTCGAACAGATTTAGATACTTTTAAGACTTTCACCTTGAAATAACCTGAAGTTGACCTTAGAATAACCACTAGATGGCCTAACTATGTGAAAGAAAGGTCGCCGGATTAGGACTCCACAAAACTACAGATACATTTTTTCTTCATTTTTTCAGCCACCTTCCCTATATTTGACGCCGAAGTGACGTGATAGAGATCAGCCTACCACGGCATTGAGATCAGCGACCCCAAAAACCCTTAGATGGAGTCCAGTGATAACTCTTAGATGTCGAAAATGTGACCTGCATTTTGAGTTAGCTTGCAAAATGCTTACTTATACACTTCAGTATTTTTTCCTCGCCTATCCATATGTTCCATCATGCCCATAATCTGCTCAAACTTCTTAGGATGTCTGTTCTGCAACAAGAGGCATCGTAACGTCAGCAAGGCGTCTTGCCTATAGAAATCGTGTAAGCCGTTGATAGCCTTCACGTCCCTCAGACCCAGAATCATGCACTCGTGACCGTGTCTGTCCATATCTCTGAGTCCTTCACAGCCCGGATGGCAAATGGGGAAATCACACCCTTCACATCTCGGTGAACCCTCAGCGATGATCAACCTGAAAGACAATTTAGGATTCAAAAACACGAACTTTCCGTTGATTTCTGATTACTTAAACATAATTCATAAGGATCATTCTAACTTTCAATAACAAGAAAAAAATTCAGTGGATTGTTATTGATTTTAATTGTATACCCATTCTTCATAAGCCGAGCACTTCGCTCTCGCCGACAGCGCCACTGAAGATGGCTACCGCAAATGTAGCCGAAAGCTCTGGATCAAATCCAACCCGACCACGGCTCAACAGCCCGAAAAACCTAAACTACGTTGTTTTATTGTTATTCAATTTTGAATATTTGGATACTCATATTTTACCATTTTTCATGCATATTTCAAGCCATTTATGTTGCATATAATCCGGTCTCTAATCATTATACTCGTCTGTAACATTCAAATTACATTTTAACTTTTTAACATTACGGTAATAATATTGTAATTGACATTTGAGGTTTTTCACTTTTTGAGCCATTTAAATAGGTTGAATTCGATAGTTCTGCCCATTTTTTTAAAATTAACTTCTTGCTATACTATAACTATCTAAAACTGTAATGACTCATCGATGTTCACGTGAACATCACTTAACTACCAGTAGTCGGCTGTTCATAGGCGGGGTATGAATGTTTAACATGGGTGAACTAGATTTGTCACATGCTTAATAAAGAGTGGTTTGAAACATATTGTAAGTAAAAAATTTGGGAATTACCTTTATTCATCGTCGCTTCCACTTACATCTGACAGTAATAAAATGTCGCTATCGCTTTCCTCGTTGAAATTGACTATAACTGGCTCTATGATGCTGTCAATGTGGTGGTCAAGCTGCCACATTTTTGTTTCTTCCTTCACAATGAATGTCTGGGTGGAGGGTGGGCTCGAGGGAACAACATCGAAGATAAAATTTGTTTTTCGAACATCTGCGGGATCAACAGCAACATTGATGCTGTTCATCACTACCTGCAATCCAATCGTCCCGCCGTGCTTTTCTTGGCGGAGACAAAAATCTCAGAGTCTGCACCGATTAATCATCTCAACTTCCCAAACTACGAGGTGCACTCCAATCTGAGAAAGAACGGGGGAGTTGTGGCTTTTGTCCGCAGCAGTCTTTCCTGCTCCAGGGATCTTTCTTTGGAATCAGACCGGAAGGACATTCTGTGGCTTCGCCTCAGCTCCAAAACATCACCCAAATCTATTTGCTGCCTTTATCGCTCTCCCTCGAACCATAACTGGGATGACCTACTCGAATACCTCACCGTCGAGATCGACTTCCTGAACATCAATCACCCCGCTTTAGAGGTAGTTCTTCTCGGTGATTTCAATGCCCATAATGAGCTTTGGTTGGGCTCAAACAAGACCGACGCAGCAGGTCGTGCCGTCGAAGCGTTCGCTCTTACTCAAAGGCTGACCCAGCTGGTGACGGGCCCTACCTTTTTCCCCGCATCTCGTCCCACGCCAGTAGCCTGCTGGATCTCTTTCTGACCACGCATCATGTCCCTTACAGCACTGCTGTCCTGTCCCCCCTGGGTAACCCAGATCACGGTGTTGTGGAGGTTAGGTTTCGGTCAGAAGCCGCTGTTGCAGCAGAAACTTGCACAGACCGCAAAACTTGGCATTACGGACATGCCGACTGGGAGGGGCTCAGAGACTTCTTCTCTAGCTTTCCTTGGAGAGATGTCTGTTTCACTGACGCGGATGCGTCGACTGTCTGTTTTTCAATAACCGAAATTATCCACGTCGGAATGGGGGAATACATCCCTCACACAGTGAAAGTTCCTAAACCAGGGTCCAACGGCTGGTTCAACAAATCGTGTGACACTGCTCGCCAGCAGAAGATCAAGGCCCGCAGAACCTACTTACAAAACCCCACTGTAGAGAACAGACAAGCCGACGTCGAGTCCAGAAACAAATATAACGAAGCGATTCGCAATGCCAAAAACCAGCATGATATAAAAGTTAGGCACAGGGTAATGTCGCAGCGCAATGGCAGTCGGTCTTTCTGGACGCTGGCCAAGCAGATTGAAAAGAATTTCTCACACAGTAGCCTTCCACCACTTACGTGTCAGGATGGAACTATTGTATTCGACTCAAAGGCCAAGGCGGAAGTGCTAGCCAAGATCTTTGCTGCCAACTCCACCATGGACGTCCCCACCAACGCCCAAGTGCCGTCAATTCAAACCCCCACACTATGCGGGAGGTAACATTCAGGCATAAGACCGTAAGACGAGTGCTCTTGTCGCTCGACATCAACAAAGCTTCTGGTCCGGACTTGATTCCTGCCATTGTACTGAAGAGATGTGCAGCGTAGCTTGCTCCAGTTCTTTTGCGTCTCTTCCAGATATCTTATGAATCCGGCACCTTCCCAGAAAACTGGAAATTTGCTCATGTACAGCCCATCTCAAAAAAAGGATCTAAAACCGACCCTTACAACTACAGGCCTATAGCTCTGCTTTCTGTCATAAGTAAAGTGATGGAGAGGTGCGTAAATCGCGAGCTTCTGGACTACCTCGAACGTCACAGCTTGATTAGCGACAGGCAGTATGGTTTCCGGCACCAACGATCCACAGGGGACCTCCTAGCTTACGTCACGCAACTGTGGAGTAAACTCATCCAGTCTCATGGTGAGGCTCGTGTCGTTGCTCTTGACATCACGAAAGCGTTCGATCAGCTGTGGCACGCTGCCCTCTTAAGCAAACTTCCATCCTATGGCCTGCCAGAAAAGCTTTGCAGATGGGTGGCTGACTTTATCTCTGGCCCCAAGATATCCATCGTAATTGACGGATTCTCCTCTTCATCCCACAACGTCAACGCGGGTGTTCCCCAGGGATCGGTCTTGGCTCCAACACTGTTTCTCTTACATATCAACGACCTCCTTTCCTGCACGATTAACCCAATCCACAGCTTCGCTTATGACAGCACTCTACATGCAGGAATTCAGAGTGACAAGCCGATTTCTGCCGCTGAGCTGGAAAAAAGAAGACTAGCGACGACTTCTTCTCTGACAAGAGACCTGGAGGCTATCACTGCATGGGGACGCAACAATCTTGTACTGTTCAATGCTTCCAAAACACAGTACTGTACTTTGACGAACAAAAAGCGTCCTAGCGCTCATACAGTTCCGATGGACGGTCGAGTTCTACCAAAGAGTCATTCATTTCGGCTGGTCGGAGTCCAGATCACCGAGGACCTGATCTGGCACGAACACTTCAATAGCTGCAGCTGCTGGGAAAAAGCTAGGCTATTTGTTTAGGGCTAAGAAGTACTTTTTTCCGCATGACGTTCTCACTCTATACACGGCCCAGATAAGGCTTAGCCTCGAGTATTGCTCACACATTTGGGGTGCTGCCGCCCCGACTACATTGTCCATGCTCGATGCTGTCCAGAGGAGGGCGGTCCGACTGATCGATGACTCTTCTCTAACAGACAGTCTCGGGACTCTTTCGCACCGGCGGGTCGTCGGCGATCTAGCTCTTTTCTATCGCTACACCAACGGGCTTTGCTCCTCAGAGCTCTCTTCCATGATGCCGCCGCGCGATGGGCCTGCCAGACAGACCCGCCTGACTTCGGCGTCCCATCCTAACCGTGTCAAACTTCGTACATCCAGAACTGGCCGATACGACCGCTCCTTTGTCCCGAGGGTGTCTAGATTGTGGAACAATCTACGGAAGGAAGCTTTTCCCAGTTCTACTAACCTTAGGCAGTTCAAAAATCGTATCAACAAAATTTCTTTGGGATCATCATAGCAGCCGCGGTGTTCCGGCTGTTTCGATATAAAAAAAACAACATGACGGATAGCATTCTGCCAAGCTTCGGGCGTTACTAGCTGTATGGAAGTCTCAAGTAAAACCTTAACGTCTGGTAATTTGAAGGTTGTGTTATGGCGCGCAATTTAACCCTTCACTTGAGCCCAGATGAGCTCTATTGGGTTCAGTTCACAGTGGTAGGGCGGTAACCGGAGCACAGTGACACCACATTGACGGGCCATCTCATCAGTCACGTAACTAATGTTCGCAGATTTGTGCTGTTTAATATTTTCATACAATTCCGCTTTCACACATGAATCGTCAAACGGGATTCCTTTTTCGCGCAACCATTGCAGCATGTCACTTTTTCGAGATCCCATAGTCGGTACACGTTCGGCTCGACGACTATGGTAGGAAGCATTATCCATGACGATCACAGAGTTGGGCTCAACTCGCTGAAGCACCCCTTGAAACCAGCTCTCGAAGCAGATGGCATTCATTTCGTCATGGTAATCACCTCCTTTCTTAGAGACGAAAATCAAGTCACACTCTTCTAAAAAGCCACTATCGCTACCAATATGAGTTACGATCAATCTTTGACCTTTCCCTGACGGTCCACGAAGACCTGTTGACAAACCTTCAATGCTTGCTTGTCGGTTACTCACTACGTTTTTGTCTATCCAGGTTTTTTTTAACTGTGTGACCTGCATTTACCCATGTCTCGTCCAAATAATAGATTTTTCTGCTTTGTCGCCTATATTCAATCATTTCGCGTAGGTATTTTCGACGCCAGGCGACTATTTCAGGTCTCTCTGTCAATACTGACTTCCGATTACGCGTTTCGTAACGAAAATTAATCTCGTGCAGGGATTTCCTCATTACCTCGACGCTCATTTGGGGTATAATTTCATTTTCCTTGATCGCTGCATGTACAGCCTTGAGGGTTGGTATCTCAATCGTAAAGAAGAATGAATGTACGGTTCGCCTTAACGCCATTTTGCTATCGTCATCCAATTTAACGGCCTTTCGTCTCTTCAAATTAAACTTTGTATCAGTAGTAGCTCCAGTTTTCTTCTTTTCATGCACCACCCTGCGAATGGTCCACTCTGGAACGCCTTTCATACATTCACAACGCGCGAGTGCATCTCCCTGCGACATAGTTCTGTTCAGATAATTGAACACGTTGAGCACGATTTCTTTCGCGTTCCTCTTCAGTGCTTTACGGAGCCGTCTACTTGTTCCCTGGCTTTCAGTACTTCCACTCGTGCCATTTGTACTATCCATGGTTAAGTATAACCAAAACAGTAACCACAGAAACCACAACAATAACAATCACACAACAATTCTTATAAAGACACACAATATGCGATCGCTCAACGAAACACGTTCCAATGCGTTGCCGACGCCTATGAGTCTGCCGGTCGAGGCGCGTCTTTGATTTCATTGGTTCTACCGGCGGAGAACAATCAGCCATTATTTCCATCACTGTCTGTACTGTTGACCACCGCAAAGCCACAGAAACGACATATGTCGTACGCTATACGGCTGTACTGGAAGGAAGCCGGGATCGAGCTCTGATCACGTGTTGATCACGCGTATGAGTCATTACAGTTTTAAATAGTTGTAGTATAGTAGAAATATGATAAAAATGTGGTTACAATGAATGAATTTTAAGCCTGTCATTGTAAAGTATCGCACAAGTCTATCACGTCTCATCGATTACACTAAAACATGCTAATTGTCCTCGCAATATTCTTGCACGAAAAATATATTGCTCCTTGGCACGGAGTGTCTAATGATGCTACTGGTAATATACCGCGCGAACGCAGTTACAATGTTCTTACGCGAAGATTTTAGTACACCAGCAGGCTGGTAAGGGTACCAAAAGGGGTACGATGGTTTTAAATGGAACGACCCATGAAAGCAGGCGTCCTCTTGCTTACAATAAGCTTTTGCCGTTAAGAAGAAAGGAATATAATTACCTGATGTTCCTCACAGACAAGGCCCTAGAGACCTACAAACCTTTTTAAGATAGTTTGACCTGTCGTGACGAAAGTGATCCAAAAGACAGAGTAGAATCAATATTTTATGCATTTATATTTATATACTCAACTTACTTGACGCCATTTTCTTTAAAGAATATTGTAATATTATATTACATAACTAATTTTAGAAGTAAGATTTTATCTGCCTGAAACAATTTTTCAGATGCAAATATGCCTCATTAGTAATATTGCTTCAACGTTGGGACGCTTTGAAAAGGTCCAAATCTGAATACTTCCTGCGTCTACACGTTAGATCTTTATGGCTCTTTTATCATAAGATGACATTGCTTGCTCCAAAAGTACGGATAAAGAAATGCGTATTTGTCGAGGCTTGGAGTAGTTGGGTTAATCATGGTTTGCACCTACCTGCAGCATCCAGGGCAAGGTACCGGTCCTTCTTCTACCATATGTGGCCTGGGGCCATAAACCAACGGGTACTCTGCCATAACAATATCTCCGGGTTTTATATCCCTGGTTGCTACCAGACATTTTCCCAAAACTGGATCTTCTAGGATCTGAAAATAAGCCACACCAAGTAAGAATAGGGTAGTGGCTTCAGTAGTTGAACAGACACCAGTAGATGAACACTTTTTAAAAATATCTTGAAATGAGACTTCTCCTGCTTTTTAGCTGTACATTGGGCTACATTTAATTGCACTAGATACTATTACGTATTTTCATTAATCTGGATTCCAGATCAAGAAGGTAATGATAATTCAAACTAAATTCTCCACGAATTAGACTCCACATCAAAGATAAGCCTTAATATTAAAATGGACACGATGAGGTAATTCTTTGAATTAAGGTTTAAATTTTAATTGAAGTATCACAACCAGTATCAGTTATCCTTGACAGTTACTCATTTTACAGAGAGAGTGACTCAACGAAACAACCCAGTATTTTCTTTCTTAAGTAATTCTTTTTATTTTCTTCTATCTAAACGGGTAATATTCAACTCTCGATAACCAGTTGTGTCAGTTTGTAGCCACGTAGTTCAAATCCTCTTAACTAAAGGAGTGTCAAGCCTTTACTTGAATATCTCCAGTCTGACATTCTTGATATTGAAGCATCTTGAATAGTGCGAGCCGGTCTTAAAAAGCCTTTTCAGCGTCAGAGTGTAAATAGGTAAGTTACCTTACATCTTTTCCTCAAATCCTTACCACCTGAGAAATTAGTATTTCGCCTCATAAACGGTTTCCGTGACTCTGTGCCTATTTAATAGATATATAATTACGTTTAATGCAATAACTACCAATCTGTTACTTGTCTCTTTGACTATGAAGTTGCCATAATGACGCAGAATTCGCATGAGTTAACATATGATATTGAATGAAATAACTCCCACATCCTATTTGAGAACAACAGAGACATTTTTACTGCACCATGTGCGTCTCTCATAAATCCACAGTTGCAAGGTGAAACATCTGACGTGACTTATACATGTGGTATGCACAAAATAAACTTTGTGTTTGTTTCATCATGGTGAATCTATTCTAAAAATGTTTATTACAGAATGGACTTTTTAAGATTGGCGCGTTTTAACTCTACAAACGCCGTGATAGAGGAATGCAGGATTTTCTACACAAAATTAGCAAAATTCATTCACTGTCATGGTTGGCTTGTCATTTTCGTTATTTGTCATAACATTTTTGTATTTTTGCCAGTTTTTGCGTGCACGTGAATATGCTGCATGCGGTTACTTGGCAAAGCTCTTTTTTCGTTGAGCTAAGGAGTATGAAAATTGAATACATAGTAGTAAAAGTGAAAGAAGTAATGATGTGCAGATGCGATGAATGGCATCTAGGCAACCATTAGTCTCTTTTCTATCAAACTTTACCTTAGCAAATATCGCAGCTAGAAGAACAGGCCTGCATTTGACTACTAAGATGCCAAAAAGAAGATTAGTCGACAACTCTTGATGCCCGGCATAAAATAAATTTTATCTATTACTTATCCTTGCTTCACCCAGTTCAAACATCAAGGGCGATAGGTTCATCTGACAACTTATGTATTAATATGTCAGGAACCTATTGTAAAAATTCTTTCAGTAATTGGAAAATTCACAGTATAACGACGCCGCTCATGCAATAGATGAGTCATACATTTAGTAGTCTCAAATTAGACCTCATTAATTATTACAGCGATAGAATTTCATAAGCATCAACTGACATTGAAATAGGACACATTTTAAAACATGCGCTGATAAACCTAATTAGCGGGTCACTTTCTTTGATCACTTATTTTAGCACTACCACTCATCTAATTTCATTTAAGGCAAATGTATTTATTCTCAACCTTCCTCTACAAGATGCTCTAAAAGCGCCTGTCCCAATGCCCTTAGATTGGCAAGATGTCCAGAAGCTTGCCGCTACAGTTCAACATCCTACGCAAAACTCTTGTTATTTTATGATATTCTGAAGTTATAAGGCCTGTTCATACAGCTGGCGCCAACCTGTCAGTGATCGTGTCCAAGATCCCGCCACACAAGTTGTGTTAGTTCTGCTACGCTATATAGTCGGAATTCACACTGCGGGATCCCAGACACGGTCACCGACAAGCCACCGATCACTGTACGAACAAACCTAAAATATTTCAATTCATATGGGCAGAACAACGTATCTGACAATCTTGACCCTCGTGGTATCCCCTTTTATCATACCCTTGCATTTCCAAGGGCAAGCGGAAAAGCGGCGTGTTGTCAACGTGTACGACGATTTACAATTAACTAAAAATCCTGTATGAGAGGTAACCCTGAGCGTTTCAACTTGATCTTCATCGAGGAAGCACGAAAATCCACTTATTCAGCTCTAACTCTATAACGTTTTTTCGATTTTGTGTTTGGCCATAGACTGATTAAACACCTCTTAGGTGACTTAGGAGCCAGAGCAATGTTTTCAAATCTATATGCATAGTTCCACTTCGCGTCAACAGTTCCACCTGCAGTTTAACCGAAAGGGGGCGTAACACATATGATACCTCAAGCATCTTGTGGAAGGTTCAGGGCAAGTGAATCTATTCCAGTTAAGATTTGGGACAACCATTTAATGTTTCGGGACATATCGACCACTAGGGGACCAACTTCAGCAAAACAGAGAGGCGTGCACCAAAACATCCTTGCCATATTTTCACTGGACTACAGATTAAGATGAAAATCACATCTCGAGAAGTACAAACCTTAAAAATCAGGACCCAGGGGCGACAAGTAAGTGGAGGCATAGGCTTATAGAATCTTGAATTTTACGAGTGATACATTCCACTGGCGTAAGCAGCAGGCCTCAGTACCTCAGTACACGAAATATCTCACCTAAAAAATGTAAGATTCTTGCCAGAAAGTAGAAAGCGGTGACACTAAGCCTCGAGGGAAGATAAAAGCATGGAAGTGGTTAAAGTAAAAGCCCGTACACAAGGGCGGATTCAGAAATCTGCTTAGAGGAAGAGCAGCTTTGGTCACAGCAGAGCAATTCCACGATAACGCCAACCAAAATCGAAGCTTACCGTACATGATTATTTGTGCCGGTATTTTACTACTACGACTAAGTAACTATGTCTTCATATGCAATACATTGCTCCAACCGGATGTCTTTGCTCAGGAAGTCTAAAAGATATTCTATCTGGAATTCTTTCCATCTCTTGGCCTATACTGGACTAGAAAATGCATGTTACATAGGGCGCTCTCTTATTGATGGGTCTGGTAGTCCATATTTTCCTCATGATTCATCAAATATCCCCGTATTACCTTGAAAGTGTCTGAAGTTTGTTATTTGGTAATGACACATATGGAATTGGATGGATGGATATCCGTGACATTAAACATGCATTTAGTATCATCCCTCTGAAACGGGGTAAAAATGATTCTCACAACTTCAGATCCAAAACCTATGTATTACAAGCAGCAATTGATGTTAAACAACGTTTTTCGCTACGTTAACAGCTTTTGCTACAATACTGTCACGGACTGACATCTTCCTATCCAGCGCGACTACTACTGTTAGTGGTGTAACTAGTTGTAATCTAATATTTCGAACTAACGGAGATAGTTTGAACCAACGAGATATTGATAACTCAGGTGAGATACAGTTGAAAGCATCGGCATGAGTGTAAGTTACTCTTGAGCGATAGTTCACTGGCTTCCAATCTGTAATTGAGTAGAAACACTACAGTGATACAGCTGTCAGGCCTATGCCTCTTTCTGCGAATGGCACTCCAGGAAATATCTCACACTACATTCCTTTTTAAGCACCACATCCCAACCAGTTACAAAATACTCAAAATATTTATGCACTTTTTGTGTCGTTTCTTTGGTCTTCGAATAATGTAATCACAATTCAGATAAAAAAATTACCGTCACGGGTTACATGTTTAGATCAGTCCGTGACATACAGGTTTTTTGCCGATAACTAGCTGTTCATTGAATATAGAAAGTTCCCCTGTGCATCATTTTGAAGAATGAGCTCTCATCTACAAATGACATTTCACAGCACTTCAGTTTTTCCAGTCTATCCAGAGAAACAAATAAGCGATCATAAGAGTTAATTTTTCCAGTTTCCATTTATGCCGTCTGTAACAACTCCTTCCAAAGATCTTCACACTAAAAAATCCAATTAAACCATTCCGTGATTTCTCAAAACTGGGTCAGAGAAATGTGCTAAATTTATCGCAGATGAAGACAAGTCATCGTTGGTTGTCAGAGCGATCCATGGGACCTTAGCTCTAGAGTCACAGTGTCAGTTGGTAAGTCTGTCAGGTCTGGTAACCCAGAAACCAGCGAAGGAAAGGAGAGAAGGAAGAACGAGAGCAAAGGGGAAGAAGAGAATCTTTTAGGATAGGCAGCATTTAGGCATTGTTAAAATCACTTTACAGATTTTGATTTGGTCTAAAAATATTCGATTTTTTTTTTGTAAACATTTTGTCAAAATGCTCCAACTTTGGTTGTTCTAAGTTCACGTATTAATTTTGATTACAGTACTAGCCGCGGCCTTTTGTGCTTACGAACTTGCTCGACTGTGTAGTCCACTGAATCACGCAACAGAGGATTGCTGTGCGATTCCGCTAGGCTATAGCATGGGGCGTCAGCAATAGTGCGCAACGTTCTGCTTTGCAGAACCTGCAGATTTCGCATGTGTGTTTTAGCAATAAAACACCAAGCCGCACATGCGTAAGTCGAATCTTGTTAATCAAACTTAATTTTGAACGTTTACATAATAATGGGTAAAGCTATCAAAACATAATTTGGAATTTAGTTTTCAGCGCTTCTATATGGTTTCGTCATCCCTTTGTCCAAAATGACACCGAGATACTTAGCGGAGGATTCCTATGGTATACGAAGTCCATTCATTGAAACTTCAGACGGAACGCCGCGACGTCTTTTTGTACAGTAGATTGCCTGCGTTTTCGAATGGTTAATTTTAATTAGCCACCGAACCGCCCAATCTAATACTTCCTCCACCGCACTTTGCAGCCTGTCATGGACTAGGTCACCAGACCACGACTGATCCACCAATGCAGTATCGTCAGCATAGAGATAGACTTCACAGTTGCTGGGGCTAGGGACGTCATAGATGTACAGTGAGTAAAGGATAGGTCCAAGGCCCGAACCCTGAGGGACGCCGGCTGTAATCAGCCGTGTTGTCGGCAGGACAATCTCAATTTTGATCCTTCAAGGAAGAATTTCAGTAGTTTTAGAAGCCAAAAAGGGAAGCCCTTTTGGATTAGCTTATACAGGAGGCCCGCGTGCCACACCTTGTCAAATGCTTTTGAGACATCCAAAAGCAAGATGCCAGTACTTTCGTTAAGGGTAAATCCTCTGGTTACTCATTGTACCAGCCTAACCGCCTGTAGCTCCGTACTATGTTCAGACCGAAAACCAAATTGCACGTCAGGAATCACATGGTGATCTGACGAGAAATTCTCAAGGTGATGTAGAATCACCTTTTCAGCGAGCATAGACACCAGGCTAATGGGACGATAATCCTGGGGAAATATCGAACCCACCTTCTTTGGAATTATTATAACTTCAGCGGTCTTCCACGCGGATGGGAAGTACTGGGTCTTTAGCATGGCATTGACTATTGCCACGAGATGAGTTAAGGACTTCCGCGAAAGCAGCTTCAGCGCCTTATTAGTGATTTGATCCTCCCCAGATGTTTTACGCACCTTAAGGTCTTTAATATGACCTTGAATCTCTGCTGGTGTGCAATGTGGGATCTCAGTAGATTCCCCTGATGTGCTAAGCAGATCTTTGGTTGAGGAAGCTTCTAAAGAAGAATCTTCTGATGAAGAAAAATCAACAACGGTAGCGCCAGAGATAAACCCTTCTAGGTAGCGCGACTGTCACTGACGCCGTTGGCCCTAAAATATCTCCTGACAGATCTTACGATGTGTTGCTCCTCGTCGAGGTCATTATCAAGATCATAGTTGGGAGAGAACTGTCTTTCCATGGCATCGGCGAAAACCTCAACCTTTTTCTTCGTCCTGAAGACAATGCCTCCAGGACCGTGGATGTGTGGGTCACAGATGAATTTGCTGCTGTGATTTTTAATCAGTATGACAGAAAATGTCGAAAGATGTCATCTTAATGTCAGTCCCCGATGCGTGGAATTGCTCAGCATTCATTATCAGGAGACGTTTTTGAGAGCAAATTCCTTTATGACAATAGAATAGCGGGGGTTGGATACGCCTAGGGGAAGGCACACATCCTGCAGTTCATCAGCAAGGAAATTTTTTTACAGCAAGATGCAGCAATATATACCATTTACTTGACAAAGAAAAAGCAGACTTGGGCGCCTAGGGATTGGGGGCGCGAGCCCCTTTCGCTTTTCCTCTAAATCCACTGCACGATCATACACATCTGTCAGAAAGTAACTGGTTGTTGATATGAAAAGGTGTTTCACTCATAAGGCTGCCTCTCGAAATGTTGGCAAAGGGATGTTTTGAAATCTGAAAAACGCCACTGTCTGTTGTTGATGAGACACAATACATCGTACTTATAGGGTAATTGTCGGTTGAGCTTTAATTTTGCCGAACGTTGTAAGGTAGTTCACAGTTACGAAAAACTGAGAAACGCCCCATGGTTTTTGAATACATACCTCGAAGGGTCTACAGACCGCTTTGTGGTTCTTCCAGTCCTTCTTCTGATGTTCCTTACCACAATAAGACACCAGTTTGCAAGCTGAACACTTCAACTCCGCGGGTTCTCCGCACTCCGCGCACTTGTCACCCATTTTCAACTTCTTCTGAAACTCGAAAAGCGCTTTTCACGCGTCTTGCATTCTCAGCAGACGGCCGCGAGGGGGAATCTGACAGAATGTATGAAAAATGCGGTCCAGCGTTGCGTACGAATCTGTTTGGTGGGGAAACCATGGTATTTATAACGCGTGGAATTTTATTTTAAACGGCGTATTTGACTCACTTGGATGCGGGCCAGCGCTCACACGGAAGGTGCCAATTCCTGTAAGGGTTGTCTTGAATGTCGGCAACACAACCATAATGAAATGAGGCGATTGGATGACTTGATACTTCCCATGCAAGTATGTATTCTCAATTTTCCACACATACAAATTCGATAGGACTGTTACCTCCGACACCACTAGTGAGGAAGTATTGTAATCGCGAGAAATTTCAAAAATCAGATATCATGTTTTTAGATGTTACGTGGTATTTTCATCACAAGAAAAATCGTTTCACTCAGTTCCGTATGTCTGTCTGCCCGTCTCTGTCAGTCCTTAACTTTTCTATAACTCGTAAAGTCGCTCTTGGATTTTAATGCACTGGTGTAATCGCGAAAAACTTAGGAAATTAAATCTTATCCTTTTTAGATGTTATATGATATCTACATCGTGAAAAACTATTGCACTCATTTCCGTGAAAATCGGTCGGTCCAGGGGCGCCGGTGCTACGGCCAAGAGAGAAAATAAAAATCACTCAATAATCTTAAAAAATCCTCAAAATTGTACATAAGATCATGCGCTAAATATGCAACCGGATTCTCAGTGGGGGACCATGCTTCCGATTCTGACTGACATCGAGCGACGTAGTCAGGTGGACGCTATTAAGTCATGGACTAATAAATGTATGGGCCTGTTTGACTAGTTTGATCTGATGAATTGTTTGTATTTAACTTTTTTCTCAGAGGATCCAACTTGTGCCAATCAGACTCCTAAGTGAACTGATGACAACGTTGCGTGGAAGTGAGGAGTCAACTCACTTGACGCCATTTTTTCTCATTTTAAGCAACTCTACCGCCACTGAGCTCTCTATCTAAAGTATAATCTTATGACAGGTTGAAATAACTTTCTAATAAAAAAATGATAATATACAAAATGAAACTGCTCCAAACATAACGATTAATTTATTTATCTAACATTTCATGTCATTGTACTGTACATTTTCACTGAAGTCTATTTATGAAACCCAATAAAAGACACAATTATACATATGGCTATATGCTAAACATAAGCTTTTAAGTCGTTGCTCTCTATCCAACTTTTAAGCTGATCCTCGTTCTTGCACACAACATTAAACAGTCTAGCACCAGACGTAGTGTTGATTTCATATTTCAATACGCGCTTATTCTCTTCCAAAATATTTAAAGCCTCCTGAAGTTTACCAGCGTCGACTTTTTTCTCTTTCTCGTGCATCCTGGTGATCATTTTGAACTTGCCAATGAACTGTTCGTTTAACAATACACCCATGTACAAACTCAATCTAAAAGTAAACGGTTCTGTCAACAGCACATCCGCGTTTTATTCAGGAAATGTAAACATTTCAACAGACGTGTCTCAAAATAAAACTCATACGTTTTGTCTAAACAAGTTCATATTTTTATCTGAGGAACAGGGGACAAAATTTGTATCTGCTAAGTATGATATTTCACAGCTTTGAATTGTGGCCTAGCATGAAACCATGCTTGTGCAGCCAGTTTCCTCATGATTTATTCTTCTATTCTTCGAGAATTAACCATATGGGAAAGGACGAAGAAATGAAAAACATATTTTCATTTACCGGTGACAGTGCCAGGCACGAAATGTCAAATACATTATGTCCTTTGTGAAGAAAATCTAGGATGAACTAAGGAAGAGTGTTTGAAACATGGAAACAGCACCGGTTTTATCAAAAGAAGACGCTATACGAAGCGCCACGGTAGCGAAGTAAAAATTCGGAAAAAGCACAGCACATCGAAATATAGAATCAGTGGCTTCTAAGTCTTTCCCATAATCAATGAACCAAAAGAAGTCGTTATCGTATACGTACATCAAACTTTGCCGCTCCCATACGATGAAACTATTCCAATGCTACGGATGGGAGAAATACAAAAATTCAAGAACAGCGTCTCGAAATCTATAGAGAGTCCAGCTTTCTTTAACTTCCCCGAAACCTTCTAGGCAACCATGATATTAAACAACGAATTATTGAACCAATAAGAATGTCTCCTCATTCTCATGTTGTTGCTCAAACTTTTCATACATCATCTTTATTTAAAATGAGGTAAATTGTAGGAAATCTATTGTATCGGAGCAGCTAACGTGTTACTTCCTAAATCGACGTTTATAATTTGTATAATTGACTTCGGATAACACAGTTACGGTACATTTACTTTTTCGAGAAACAAAGACAACATAGCAACATCACCTAGCGTTTCCTGGATCTATTTTCCTGGTAATTTCAATAAGATCTTGGCACATTTTCAATTTCATGGTCAATAAACTAGCAGATATTTCGCCATTTCCTTCATTGCCATATAGCTGAACTAAAGAATGCTTGATTATGTAGTTCAGATAATGATTTTCATGAAGAAAGTTCAATAACTTGCTCAACACGCCTTCTAACTCTGCGATTTTTGATCGTCTTGACATCACGCGATCAACTTCCGTGTTTAGGTGATTAACGAAGTTCATCATTTCCTGGAAAAAAATGACATTAATAGAGCTCCGTTTTTTTTTAGAGTGAACGCCGGAGTTATTGCGTAAGCAATATACAATATGAAGAGCTAAATTTTTTAATAACTCCGATTCATGCAGTCCACAGTTTTGCCTATTTGCCGATAGATTTAGTGCAGGTGCCTTATACTCTTACGAGTATGTTTTAGTATTGGGAGGCGAAGCCTGGGAACTAGACTACCTTTAGCCATTTTTGGAGATTCGTGACCCCAACGTTAATACCAACAACACAACCAGCATTAAAACTTGACGTCGAATCTGCCAGAACCCCAAAGTTCACAACGTATGAACACACAGCTTTATAGACCTCATCTCTAGCAAATTTATCTCTAAGGTTTTCATATAACGACGGTTCCTTTGTCCCGAGGGTGTTGAGATTGTGGAACAATCTACAAGAGGAAGCTTTTCCCAGTTCTATTAACCTTAGGCAGTTCAAAAATCGTATTAATAAAATTTCTTTGGGATCATCATAGCAGCCGCGGTGTTCCGGCATTTAGGCTTCTGCCTGCGCGGCTGCTTAGATATAAAAAAAATACAAGATACACCTGCCTAGGAAGTGAAATGATGTTCACATGAAGGGCAGATGTTTTTTAATCTGCAGTTGCAGATGGGAATCTCGATCAACCGGGAGTCTGCTATTAAGTCCATAGAGAATACAATAACCTTTAACTTCTAGTCTTGTCAAGTTATTTCGTTTCTCTTTACCTGGTAGACCAGTGTGCTCAAACGTTTGCAATAAGGTTATGTCTTTCACTAGATCTAGAGTTTTAAACCGTATGGTATATTCTTCCAATGTTGGTGGACCTCCTTATACAACTTTGAACTGAATAAAATAACTAATAGGGTCGCAAAATCTCCAATGTCGACGTACCTTGTCAGGAAGTTGTATTTTACACCGCTCACAAACCCAAACGCAGTCTTCCTCTGTTGGGTTTACCGGTAACTGTGTCCCACCACATGGACAGTTCTCCTCGTCGCCCAAACACCTCAGAGCGCTGAAATAAGTTCCTAATTCTGTCGGATCTTGACACCTTCTACATTTGCAGGTGAAGTACTTTGTTTGCTTTAAGTGATCTCTCCTTGCTGACGTACCCCACAGTATGTTGGTGTATGTTGAAGTTATATGCTCTCCTAATAAAAAAATGAGTGTCTATAAGTAGTTCGAAACCAGTTTTCGGAAAATACGCACACAAATAGTCGATCTGTGGAAGGTAGTGCTGACAAAAAAAGACACGAGAAAAGAGGCTGACCGCAAAATGCTGCAAGTGGTCTGTTAGTAAACATACCAGCGTGGTGCAACTTGAATTGGGTAGCACAATCTAGCTGCAACTTATTAATACAAGCCTGTATTATAGCTAGAAATATTATAATCTGCGCTGAGGGTAGCAGAACAGCAATACTGACTTTATGTTGCAAATTCAATATGAACTCCAATAATAAAAGATTTTCTAAGTGTTTGCGTTTGCCAATTTCGAAGTGTTTGCTAACCGTTCACACGAATGAAAAAGACAAATTTTGTGTACCTTTCTTTATTGGTAAGGCAGCTCTAAACGTTATCCTGAAGTTCTCCTTCTCATCAATGGTTTGCATTGTGTTAGGGACACAGTTGTGCTCTAACAGACTGGCAGTGGGATATAGCACCATCGCCTCTATCTCTTCTGTGAGCTCTGTCGCATTGACGTCTAGGATGCCGTAGACCTTATGGATCAGATGGGGAGAAGTGTCTTTCAGGATGCTTTCGCCACATTGTTTCTCTGATTCTCTCAAAGGTTTCAAATAGTTGTCTTCCATGATCTTGATCTTTTCTTCGATAGCCCTAAAAATATGAGCTTCAGCCAAAACATCCTATCTTGGATAACGTTTTACGGGCACAGTTTCTAAATAGTCTATTATTACGCAGTGTTACACTTACTTGTATACGTCAGTATCTGGCCCTCGATGTTCCGGATGAGCTTCTAAAGCAAGCATGGTTTCCCAGCGTTTCAAGCTGGAGTTTTGAAGAGCCAGAGCTCGTAAAGCTATAAGTACGTCAAATCTGTAAAACGTACAAAGTGCCAGAATGTTTTGATGCTTTCCATTTTTGGGATCTTATTACCTAAAATATTCGTAAAATGATTTTGACTCGGTGTTAGCGGGCTTCAGTCTCAGAATGGTACATTCAAAGCCATGGATGTTAGGTTGCTTCAATCCTGGACAGTCCAACTTGCAGACAGGCCACAGGCACAGTGGACATCTTTCGCAGGTCTGATCAGTCAGTATCCTAGAATGAAGAATATTTTGGCATAAGTCGACATCCAATATTAAGATTTCATAACATTGCTGGTATAACAACTGGACGATTATGAAAACAACTAGCTGTCAGAAGCATATAGGTACGGTATCTACCTGCAGCAACCCACACAAGGAAAGGGCCCTTCTTTGATTTGCTGAGGCTTAGGACCAAATACTAAGGGAGTCTCCGATAGTATCACGTCGCTAGGTTTCAGGTTTCTTGTTGCCAACAAATATCTTCCCAATTCTTTAGAGGTACCAATCTGAAATATGTAATATAATCTCAGAATCAGTATTGAAACAACACATACAATGTTTGAGGAGATTGATGGACCATACAAGGGCTTCATCAAAAATTAAAACATTACAAGAGCTATGACCATAGATTTTTTAATAATATCTGAGATTGTTGGATCCTAACAGATTTTACCAGTTAGGTATATTGAGAACGTCTTAACATTTAATATATAATAAAATGTTCGTCATCAGCATTTGAGCAAACGCTCTATAGCATCTAGTATCTAGGTTGTTCAAATTTCTAATACTGTAGCGTTTTGTTGACGCAACCAAGGAGGGCGGGGTAAAGGATGTAATCACGTTCCCCACACTATGCGGGATGTAACAATCAGGTATAAGACCGTAAGACGAGTGCTCTTGTCACTCGACATCAACAAAGCTTCTGGTCCGAACTTGCCCGTGTACTGAAGAGATGTGCAGCGGATCTTGCTCCAGTTCTTTCGCGTCTCTTCCAGATATCTTATGAATCCGGCACCTTCCCAGAAAACTGGAAATTTGCTCATGTCCAACCCATCCCAAAAAAAGGATCTAAGACTGACACTTACAACTACAGACCTATAGCTCTGCTTTCTGTTATAACTAAGGTGATGGAGAGGTGCAAAAATCGCGAGCTTCTGGACTACATGCAGGAATTCAGAGTGACAAGCCGATTTCTGCAGCTGAGCTGGAAAAAAGAAGACTAGCAATGGTTTCTTCTCTGACAAGAGACCTGGAGGCTATCACTGCTTGGGGACGCAACAATCTGGTACAGTTCAATGCTTCCAAAACACAGTACTGTACTTTGACGAACAAAAAGCGTCCTAGCCCTCATCCAGTTTCGATGGACGGCCGAGTTCTGCCAAAGAGCCATTCATTTCGGCTGGTCGTAGTCCAGATCACCGAGGACCTGATCTCGCACGAACACATCTCGTCAATAGCTGCAGCTGCTGAGAAAAAGCTAGGCTATTTGTTTAGGGCTAAGAAGTACTTTTCTCCGCATGACCTTCTCACTCTATACAAGGCCCAGATAAGGCCTAGCCTCGAGTATTGCTCACACATTTGGGGTGCTGCCGCCCCGACTACATTATCCATGCTCAATGCTGTCCAGAGGAGGGCGGTTCGATGACTCTTTTTTAAGAGACAGTCTTTCGCACCGGCGGGCCGTCGGCGATCTAGGTCTTTTCTATCGCTACACCAACGGGCTTTGCTCCTCAGAGCTCTCTTCCATGATGCCGCCGCGTGATGTGCCTGCCAGGCAGACCCGCCTGACTTTGGCGTCCCATCCTAACCGTTTCGAACTGGCCGATACGACCGCTCCTTTGTCCCGAGGGTGTCGAGATTGTGGAACAATCGATAAGAGGAAGCTTTTCGCAGTTCTACTAACCTTAGGCAGTTCAAAAATCGTATTAACAAAATTTCTTTGGGATCATCATAGCATTCGCGGTGTTCTGGTATTTATGCTTCTGCCTGCGCGGCTGCTTCGATATATAAAAAAAAAATAGATTCCACATTCCTGATTGATGATGATAATTTCTCATTCGCTTAGAGTTTACTTTCAATATTATTTCGCTCGTTGTGCCGTTCAGTTTCTGCCACAATGCATATTCAAGTACTATCAAGGGTCTCACGTGTCACTAACAGTTAGTGCTCAAAAATTATGTACGAACTGGGGCATATTAATTTGAGATGTCCAATAGGTTGGTTTTAATGCTTGTATTTTACATTTATTAACTGACTTTTTACTTCTTTCGCATAAACGAGCAGTAGGTATTCACGCCCAATATTGAATTTGAGATTTTATTAATGTCCTGAAATGTCTGATTGACGAAAATGCATGCTGTCGGCCGGTCGGCCCACTCGCGGTGTTTTCGGTAGCTTTGCATAGTTTCACTATCGGCTGAACCGAATTTAAAGAAATTTGGGAAGTGATCTGATAGGAGATTATAAGAAATGATGCTGCTATATTTCTTTGGAATACTGCTTGCCGAAGTTGAACATAAAAATGAAATACTCGTAAAAAGCCAGAAAAACACTTCCCAACTTCATTAATCGTCTTGTTTTTACGCGTTCCTCAGTTAGCTAAAAAGTGCTTGAGTACTCAGACATTTTGATAATTATTATTTTGCCAGTAATACTTATTCTTTTTGTCAGTTCAGCGTGCTCCGCAAAGGTATCATGTAAAAAACTTACAAAACGTCAAAAAAAACCTATAAGATGTCAACTTGCATACTAGGTAGTTTTTAGGGAGCAAACAGTCATTCCACGTTTGCTCACTTGGGTCGTTGTGAACATCCATCTATGGAGGAATCACTAAACTAAACTACGCATTATTGGTTGCATAGTTTTGTGAGGCTGAGTGATCTGGGTCTGTAGTTTTTATCTCTGAGAAGAAATTTGGTAGAATAGCAAGATCACATCTGGATGATTATGTGTACCTATTGGTCTGCATGTGTATAAAATCAGTGATATTTGCTGTGTGAGAAAATCATTACTGAATATGCCGAATATGACGGGTTATTTATATGTTGTGCTTTTTGAAGAGATGTTATGTCCAAAGTTATAAATTGCGAAAAACTGAGGAGAATTACGGGAAACCATCACCTCGCCCGCGTTGTGTGTAATTACTGTTAGCTTGTATATGGCTTGTAATTCGACAGTGTACAGTGAATATAATTATTTCTTATCTATCTCATTTTTGAAATTCAGCAAATTTGTATATGTAATTTCCAGAATGGATAAGAAAAAGTGGATGCGTAACTAATTTCTAGCTTTGAATCTCAATTATGTGTATTTGAGACAAGAACCCAATGTAATTATCATCAACACATACAACTTACAGCTTAGACCTCCAGTAATGCCATCTCAGAAGCAGATTTTACATCACATCAGAGCCAAAGATTGATAACAAACCTCATGACGTTTAGGCAACACGAACAACTAAGTGCTAAGTTAACATCTTGTAGAATAACCTACATAATGTCAAAAAAACCAGCATAATGTCAAAAAAAATCGGCATAATGTCACTTTTCAAGATACGTGATACCCGTGTCGTAAAGAAATGAGCATAAGTAAAGTATAACTTAATTTATTTTTAATGCATAGATTATAGATTAGAAAGCCCAAAATCTTTTAAACCCAATATCCTAGGCATAATTGAACCTATTATAATAAAAGTTTGCATATAAAATTTCCTTAGGAGTAATCCAAAGCCGATCGAATGGCTCACAAGTCATTTACGGAAACCATTTTTTACCTCTAGTATTTTTTCCAAAGATTAACACCATATAAACTGAATTATGAAATCTTTTCATGTGCAATAAAAGCCAACAGATTTTGTTAATACGACTCATCTCTTTCCTTTTTTTAGTTAAAAAATTTCATGTGTATTCAAATATATTATTATTTATTTTGCACCTGAGTGTAGCTTATTCCTATCAGTCTGGCGGTAAAAAAACTCAAAATTTTAAGTGCTAATAAGTTTGTTCCATAAACATTTTGCGAAGTATTACATACTTTGTCTAATCACGATCTAACTGGTCGCAGATGAGTGACGTCTGAAAACAGTTTGGCTTATATGTGCCCAAAAATAACATTTAGGCAAAAGCAAAAAATTAAGTTCAATTTTAAGTACGAAAATCCCTTGGTCCATGCCATTTCACTATGTTTATTTAAATTTACACAAACAATTATTATTCTATCAACTGCTGAAACATTTTTGAATAGATATAAAAAATAATATTCTTAATAGCTTATCAAAACCGTTCAGAATTCTTAGATAGAAATAGAAAGTTGTTCTTCGTTATGAGAAACATGAATACTTGTGAGGGACAATTAGACCTAATTTGACATAGTATTGGCTGGGGTCTGTTGTCAGAATAAACAAAAGAAGATATGATACCCTTGATTGTTTTATTTTTAAGCAGAACAAATACTCCAACCTACCGACAAAAAAAAAACTGGAAAAGGCTAATCATCCAAAACAAAAATTTGTAAGATGAAATGCTGGACCGAGAGTTCAAATACCAAGTGCAGTTATAGACCATGCTGATAAGTCTAATAAACGTCAACCACAGCCTTCCAGTTGCAATTTTGTTGATGTTGCTTTTTTGTGAAGCAATACTTGGACTTATAAAGACAAATAGGATTGAATATGTGTAGATAACAACCTACCTCGAATGGATTGCATGATACTTGATGTATTTCCTTGTGTTCATGTTCATGCTCTTTAGAACAGTAGTATACTTGTCGACACGTAGAGCATGTTCCTTGTGTCACTTGTTGGCAGATTTCGCAAGGGCCATCGGCCATATCTTGTTGCTAAAAGACTGCGAAGCCTCATTAGTTGATGGACAAATAGGTACTATTTTTACCAAACGTACCACATATCACCACATCTGATGAAGGCAGTATAATATTCTGGTACAATAAATAGGAAGTGAAAGTAATTTAAAACTAAATATAAATCTTGTATTCTCTAATAAATAAAACCTTCTGCGAGTATGGCTTCAAAAAATGATATGCTGATTTTGACAAGACTGAATCAGCCCTAATGCATTTTCGATCATTGTTACTTCCTGTATAATGTATCACAAAAATTATTTTTTCAAAACTTTTTTCGATAACCTCTGTAGTGGCTACGTGATTTTGAACTGACTGTTTAAAATTTAATAGCAGTTGTTTAGATTCCATCATTTCCCTAAGTTGCCAATCAATTTGATGCTTCATCGTAACAGAGTAATAAAATCAACATGAGGGAAAGTTTACTTTATACAATAAACATTCAGAAATGTGTAGTTATTTTTAGGAAAACAGATGCGCAGGTCAATAAATAGACGATAAACACAATTCTTAAAATAACCACTGAATTAGTTCGGAACAAGGGGATTGTGTTAATGGACGTGCAACGAAAAATAAAAACGTGTAAAAATATCAAAATAAATCAACTTGATACCCTGTCGAGCAGTGCAAACGATTTGGACTTCAGAAACTGTACATTAATCTTAAAAATAGGTACACTGGAACAGTGTGCGCAAGTGTCCTGTGCGTGAATTAAAGTGATACGGTGCAAAATGGTCAATTAATTTAATAATAGATTCCTATTTAAAGCATCGTTCCCAAGATCGTTCCACTTTTTATCCACACCTGCTATATCCTTGATATTTTTAATGTCACATGAACGAGTGCCAGTCACAAAATCATGTAGATTCTGTAAGTACTGTCATGACTATAGTAGTGGTTCCAGAGATACAAAAACTTAAATTTAATAGTGGGTGTTTGGAACCTTTATTATGTGTGTTATGTTTGCTACACATAAATCCATAAACAAGTAATATAGCTTTTGTTCGTCCAGCCACAGACGACCAACCCAGAGGCGTAGCTACCGCCTGATCAGCCCTATCAGTGACCAGCCAAGCACCAAGCCTTAGGTTGTACGGCTCGGTAATAGTAGCATGCTTTCGATTTTTAGCCCTCTATACTACAACCACAGCAGAAAGCTTTTCGAAGTTAAAAGTAATTGAAATATCTTAGGACTGAGGCAACTTTGACTGTCAAGCCTGGTACCGTCTTCAGAGGCTAAACATTTTGAAACACTAAAATCGTCTTCTACTATAGATGATTTAAAAAAAACTCGGAACAAAATAGTGACAAGTAGATTGAGTCGTTACTCCCCAAGCATTCACCTATGACTCTGTTTAAATTTTCAATGAGTCAAGATGAACCTTAATAAAGAAAAAAAAATGTTTGAGCTCCAAAATATTTTTGAATATGCCCTAACCAAAAAGATATTAGATAACCGTTAAAAATGTAGAGAAAGCTGTAAAAGATACAAAAACAGACTTCAGAACTATCTGAAATAAGCTAATTTTTACTTCTAATAACGCTACCATTCAAACGATTCTGAAAAATAAAGTAGCACTACCTATTATTTACGTGATGTAGACACCGCAAAACAAAAAACACATCACAATTTCTAAAATTTTCGCATTCACAGTACCCCGAAAAACTTCTACCCCTCGCTCTTAAAAAAACTTTTAGGGTAGGCACATTTTACAAAAAGATATCTACCCCTTCTGACTGAGAAAAATTCCTGTGGGCACACGTAGAAAATACATATTATTCAATGCAAGCGTCTTTGTTTCTTTTTTTAGGATCTATATTTTACATTCAAACATGGACAGCTGTTTTATGCTATTTGGCAATTCCTCACGCATGGTGTAGGCTTGGCCTCAGATACGACTACAAACGGACCCTGAGCAACTATCCTCTATTCAGAGTACCTGGTCTATCAAAATAAGTTAGCATGAAGTGTCGTCCTTTACCAGAATCGCCAAGTGACCGTTTCTGATATAGCACGAGAATCGGCGGCATCTAGCGACTACAGTGGTGACCAGGCAGGCAATGCAAACTGGGATACAGTTCCAACAGCCACTTTGCTAATTTCACTTTTGCAGTGACATACATACCCTCACACAAGTATATGCAATTACCCTCAATGCGCGAAGGCTTGTTGTGCAAGCTCACAGACGTACGTCTTTACTTTCTGATTTTCATCAAGAAAAAACTCATAGTAAGTAAGAACTTGTTTTATTTATCATACATATTGGTTTATTACATCTTAGCACCATTAATATAAAATTCGTTGACAATTCACAGGATAAGAAACAGTTTCATTTGCATTACTGGCCGGTACTACAGTTCCTTTGCCCGTAAGGCAAATTTTCAAAGTATCATTAGGCTTCTTATAGCAGCTGCAGTACCCCTGTAATTAGGCTTCTACCTACGGGACTACTTTGGTACAAACAAATAAGAGAAAAACGCGTAATCAAGCAAGTTTTCTTGTTTTATGTATCTTACATATTATTATTATATTTTGGACCGTGATTACGGTGTTACGGTTATGTCTTTAGCCTCTTCAAAAAGAATTTACATCTTATCACGGAAGGCAACACCGATTTTCTCCTTTTTAATCCTCTCAACCATCTCTATCCAATCCTCAAAGTAGGCAACTTTGGTGTAGATTCTCGGCAGCACTCTGCTGGCACAGTTGATCTCAAACGAAACAAAACCAATAACAATATTGTACTGTATCAATGGACCTCCGGTGTCGTACCCACACTCCGTGGACTGGAGGTGTTTGGCACAAAACATGCTCTCATCTAGCCTGTACTTCTGTGGATTCGTACATAAATGTTGAGGAACGATCGACACCTTCGAGCTATAGATTTCAGCTGCCTCATAGTCCCCCGTCTTTGAGCTCCAGCCGAGTGTTGCTCCGCTGGTGTTCACTTGATATTTGTACCTGCAAATGAACGTAAATAGAAATAGCTCTAAAGGCTAAATAGGAATTTACTCGAGCGTCGTAGGGACCTATTAGATTTTGAAGATTAGATTACAGAAAGAAAAAAGCTTTTTAGTGGTGGTGGCAGCGACTACAAGTCAAAATGTGAAAAAATAGAGACACAGAAAAACTGTAAATCGTCAAATATTAGATTGTCTGAAGCGCACGAGTGTTTCTAACCATTTTTTTACTATTCTGATCGGCTACCCTACATGTACCCCGCTGTATAAGGTATCCCTCCTTATCGTAATCTGACGCGATCAAGTAAACTCCAAAATCCCACATCACATTCTTATTATTTTACTACCCGGACCAAGGTCCTCGGCAACTCTGTAAATTAGAAAGCAACACTCGAGTTTTGAAGAAGAGATTTAAAAAAATAGAAGCAATTGCCTCTGTTTATACATAACGTTTCTAGCCACAGCAAGTGTGAATTCTTTTTCTATTACCAGTCCTGGTCTAGTGACAAATTACAGAGTGTGGTGAAAAAAGTACATTGAGTTGACATACTTTTGTAGATATACCCTTTTTCCAGTTGGTGTATTGTTTCTCTATTTCCGTTTTTATATAATCATGTAATCCAATAAAACTACTTAATGGCATTCGGAAGTAAATAAAAAATCGTTCTTCAAGCAATGCAGGAAAAATAACACTAAGCTCTCCTTTTTCATCTCTCTCACAATTAATTGGATGCACCCAGTATCTTTCTTCTTCTTTTTCTTGTTAGAATCTTCCAAACTTCACAAAAGCAATGCTTCATCTTATGAAGGCGAACTATCGAATTACATGTTTCACCTACAAGTACTCGTAATCCCGTAAAATAGAACGCAGTGTTCGGGACTGTCTGTGCTAGAACTCGTAAGAGGAATTGACCGGACGAACGCGGCTTGAACGCTGAATGCTGAACGCTTATCTGTCTGCGCGAGCCTTAAGTGTCTCGCTATTGCTTCAATGTTTCTGCAGAATATAAACAGTTTCGAACTTGGTAAAAGTCTACAATCCATTGTTCACGAGGCACCTAATCAAAAGTCTGATGCCACCATTTTTACATCCCACGCTAATTAACGCGTGAGAAATTTCAGAAATGTATCATGTTTTTTGGATGTTAGATAACGTAAATCGCCGCAAACCATGCACCAAAACAAAAATAAAATAAATATATGTATTGTGAATGTACTATATATATTTATTACAATTAATGACAGATTTTCGTGAGAAGTACAGTAGCCAATCTACTTGATGCCATGTTTTCCATGGAACTTAAGACTAGAGTCTAGTCTAGTATTTTTAAAATATACATACCCAGCACCTGCAATGACAGCTGGAACCTCATGTCTATCCTGAAAGGGAGTTCTGACTTTAATCATACAAAAATTATGTGAGAAAGTTTTGTGGCTATAGTTAGAATGCCTCAGTATGTCTTCAACGTCATGCGCGATGCCCCCTCGCCACGCAGCTGCATTGCTGACAATTTTTATCCTTTCTGAAGGGTAAACCTTCACCAACTCGCAGCAGTGGGCGGTGGTCATCACCCAGTATGGACTGATGATTGTCGTTCCACACATCAAGACTACCCTGAAATAAATCAGTTGAAAATGCTTCCAATTTACAAAAACTTGGCTAAGTTATATTAACATCGCAACACCAAGATATCATTAATATGTAACGTATTACTTTCAGTTCCAACCTAATCGTCACTGCCAAGCAATGATACACTTTTTGGAAGAATAGAAATGTAGATGTGCATAAATATGAAGCTTCTGGAGTACCTTGAACGAATTGAGTAGCAACAGGCAGTATTGTTTCCGTCACCATCGATCCGCGTGGGACGTCCTAGCTTACGTCACGCAACTATGGAGTAAACTCTTATGGTGAGGCTCATATCGTTGCTCTTGACATTACGAAAGCATTTGATCAGCTCTGGCATGCTGCCCTCTTATGCAAACTTCCATCTTACGGCCTTCCCGATAAGCTTTGCAATAGAGGTGGGTGACTTCCTCTGACCGCAAGATATCCGTTGTAATTGACGGGTTCTCCTCCTCATCCCACAATGTCAAGACGGTTGTTTCCCAGGGATCGGTCGAGCTCCTTACCTGTACGATCAATCCGATCCACAGCTTTGCTCTGTTACTTTTCTCCACATAACCTCCCCACTCTGTACAAGGCCCAGATAAGACCTAGCCTAGAGTACGGCTTACATGTTTGTGGTGGCGTCGCCCAACTACATTATCGATGACTCTTCTCTATCGGACAGTCTAGGGACCATTTCGCAACGACCCGACGGCGCGTCGGCGTTCTAGCTCTCTAGCATGCTTTGCTCCTTAGAGCTCTTCTGTCATCCCAACCATGCCGAACTTCGTACATACAGAACTGGCCGATACGACCGTTCCTTTGTCCCTAGGGTATCGAGATTGTGGAACAGTCTACCTGAGGTAGGAGGAGTTCTTCTAACCTTAGGCAGTTCAAGATCGGATTAACAAAGTTTGTTTAAGCTCCTCATAGCAGCCGCGGTGCACCGGCATTTAGGCTTCTGCTTGCGCGGCTGTTTCGGTATGAAAAAGGATCCAGAAGGGAAAGATCCATTGATTAGTTATTGAGGTCTGAAAATAATGTATTCAAATTATGGTTTTGGAATGATCAAGACATCGAAAAACACTAACTTGACACTCTGAATAGTTAGTGCTTTTTACGTTACGCAATCTCAAACAATGCTTGTGAGCAAATTTCTACTAACTTTATTTTTTGTTTTTTGATTGATTCTGGAAATGCATCTGTTTTTACTCGACCTGCCTCAAGAGGGATGTTCTTCGCGCGCAGGTATGGATGTATGTAGACAGAAAATCTTATTTCACTGGCTATAGGCCAAACGGCTTGATAGATTTTGATATACAGTGAAAGCTCTCCTTGCGGACAGCTCCTATAAGCGGACATCTCTTTTAACCGGACAAAGTTCCTGGAACCGAATTTCAGTCATCAATTTTCAATGTTAAATGCATTCCGATAAACGGACGCTCTTATAAACGGACGCGGACACTAGATTTTCCTGTATGTGATCAAAAAATCTCCCATAAGCGGACGCGAAACTCTAATACCCGGACGATTTTTTAGTTCCGCTTATTGCAATGCACATATCTACATACATAAAATTCGGTAATTCCCCGATTTATATTAGGTGATTCCCCATTTACGCATTTCGTTGGGTAGCCTGTATGTAATCTTGTGGCTTGTCTTCAGTTCAGGCAAATTCGTAGTTGATTGAGTTACGTATTTTATTATTGTAACTGTAAAATGGCACCAAAAAAAAGGATGCTCTCGTTAAAGGAAAAGATGGAAGTTGTTAACGTATTAGACAGAGAAAGTGTTTCAGTTCGTCATTTGGCAAAGAGGTTTAATATTGGGAAAACGCAAGCAGCTGAAATTGCCAAAAATAAGGAAGATATCAGGAGTAAATGGCAATCAGGAACTAATATAAATCAAAAGAAGAATTTTTTAAAAAAGGAAGGTTTTGCTATAGACAAAACATGTTTTAAGTGGTTTGTGAAAGCTAGAAGTCAGAACATTCCAATCTCAGGGCCGTTAGTGAAAATGAAAGCTAAAGAAATCGCCACTACTTTGGGCTATAATAATTTCAGTGCGTCCGACGGGTGGCTGCAAAAGTGGCGCAAGAGACATAGTGTGAGTTTCAAATGCATATCTGGCGAAGCTGCTGCAGTAGATCAAGTTGATGTGTCACAATTTTTGGAGAAACTTCCGTCCATGTTCCTTGGCTACAAACCAGAAGATGTGTACAACGCAGTTGAGAGTGGACTTTTTTTTCGCGCATTGCCCGACAAAACTCTGTCCTTTAAAGGAGAAACATGTGTGGGTGGAAAGTTGTCTAAAGATAGACTAACCATTTTATTCTGTGCAAATATGGCCGGTGAAAAATGCGATTTGATTGTGATCGGGAAAGCGGCTCGTCCCCGTGCTTTAAAAAACGTTGCTATTAAGGATCTACCAGCGACTTGGAAATCCAACAAAAAGGCATGGATGACCCGAGAAATCATGTCTGAGTGGTTAGTCGAATTCGACCGGAAAATGAGAATCCAAAAAAGGCAAGTTCTTTTATTTTTAGACAATGCATGCTCTCATCCTCGTGATATGAAAATGAAAAATGTGAAAATTATATTTTTACCGCCAAACACAACTTCTGTTTGTCAGCCCATGGATCAAGGTGTCATACAGAACTTTAAATTTTATTATCGGCACTTGATTTTAAAACATATTTTAACAAAAATTGACGATGGTCAAAGCTTATCTGAGCTTACAAAGTCTATCAATGTGTTAGAAGCTTTGTATTTTATAAAAACAGCATGGAATAAAGTAAATTTCTCTACAATTAAAAACTGTTTTGGCAAAGCTGGATTCAGAAAAAGTGAATGTAGCTCAGAATTTGCTGAGCAAAATTATTGCGATGCTGAAGACGATCTGCCCTTAGCGACACTTGCTCAGTTACTGCGACATGCCAAACATTTAGGAGTAGCAGATCCCCAGAAAGTAGATGATTTCCTGGCCATAGACAATAACATAACAACAGAAGAAAATGCCATTGGCAACTTTTCGAATTTGGATGTAGAAAGCCCAGGCCAACTTGAATATGGTAGTCCAAACGACTCAGAAGAAGAAGTGGAACTGGTGGACTCACTAAGCGGTTCAAAAACGATAAATTCATATGGGGAAGCTCTAAATCATATTTCTATATTGAAAAAATTTGCTAAAGATGATTTCACTGCATTTCAACATTTGAAAAATTTAGAAAGTTATTACGAAAATTGTCTCCTTCAGCAAAAGATGGTGAAATTTCGTCAGACAAACATTTTAAACTTTTTTCAACAAGCTAAAGAATAATGTTTTTTTTAAATTCTCGTACCATGTATTGGAGCATTTATGTTTTTGTATGCGTATATGTACATATATTATATAGATATATAGCATAAATATATACTTTAATAATGTGGCGAGTTTCTGTTTCATTTTTCTCATGATTATAATACCTCATTTCCTCATGATTATATACCCCGTTATTTATACTCTATACTTACATACTCTCTTTTAAACGGACACCTCCCATAAGCGGACAAAAGTTACGGAACCGTGAGTGTCCGCTTATGGGAGCTTTCACTGTATGTGGTGTTGATGGAAACGGGTTAACAGTTCAAGTAAGTGTATATTAAAATTCATTAAATCAAAATGTCGGATTTTAATAAAAAAAGTTGAACGCTTCAGTTCTTATTCCAAGATATTAAAAAAAAACTAAAAAGGTCCATATAGAAACATTGTTTACATATTAGATTACATGTGTATCTACGAATGTATGTGTATACGAGTATGTGGACAAGAATAATACTATGCCGGACTTAAATCAAAAATTTCAACCTTGAACTTTATATTTATTTCAGGACCTACCGCTAAAACAACTTCATGACTTTTTTGATACGAGATGTCTCTAGATATAATAATGTGAGTGACACCAAGTGTACTAAAATTGTATACAGTCCAATGTTTCTATCTCGAGGGCTGCAGCTAGATTTTGACAATTGATAGCACAATTAAAGCTTCATTCCCTTCAGTTACTGCAACCGCTTTATTTTTATTATTTTTTTTGTAATGCACTCATTAGAAATACCTTTCCTTAGATTTGGATATTGCCATTTGCACGTATCTCAAAGCTATCCGAAAAAATGTGTTACGATCACGATATACTTGAACCAACACGAAGGCATAAGGCATAACAACCCATAGGTACCGAGGATACAGGGGAAAGGGGGGACATCCCACGGACTCCAGCGAGGGAACATCTGTGCACGCCACATGTACACATTCTGGTCCCGCCTTAAAGAGATCCGAAGGGTGGTACCTCCACGTTCGACAGTCCGAGACTGCCTATCACCTACGAACAATGACACAAAAAAAAAATGTTGGACGGGATTCAAAAAACATTTTCTATAAGGCTCCAAAGGCAAAATGTTCCTATCAAATCGTGCCCAGCTATCTTGGGGAGCCATTTCACATGAACATCAGGCTATTAAAACATATCGCTTACCTATCATACTTAATTATAACTAAGGCTGCCATGTGCTTTTGTCCCATATATTCTACGTGTTGGGTAGCCAAAGACAACAAAACATTTCCAGACTGGATATTATCATCTTCAGCTTTTCCTCCAAATATGCCATCGAATATACCCTTGTTGCACCTTCTCCTAGTCTCTAACACGACTATTAGCAGTAATAACAAATTTGCTAAAGACACCACTATCAATGTCGTTATTGATATGCAGGATATCTGTCCCATAAGAGATTTACTTCTACTAGCGTCGTTGTTAGATGTAGCTTCACCGGAGTCGTTGGGCTGATTCATTAAGAAAATTTTGAGAGATAGACAGACTCCTATAAAAAAATGATAAATTCATACAAATCATTAGCAGTAAAATCAAAGACATACAGTATTTTGCAATCGCTCAACGTACAAGGATTACATACAGTGCTTTTCTTTAATGTCCCCCTCCCCTTTGATTTTTTGAACGGATCAATTCAAAAAATTAAAACTTGAGGTAATGAAATTGATGCGTGGGTACCATATTTTAGAGTAAAATTGACAGATGAAAACTGCCAAGATAGCCGCTGAGTGCCATCTTGGAAAAAAAGTTATATCAAAACGGGGGACTTGTAGCACATCATTTTGAAGCTCCTGACGAGTACTTTATAACCCTAGAATATAAAGTCAATACCTTTACCTACTACAAAATGGTTATACATTTAATAATTACCAGAATACATTGAGATTTAACTTGATAATTCGAATAAATACGTTGAGTTCAGTTTAGAAGATGCTGGAAATGGTTCTTGACACAATAACAGCCGGTCCGTAATTTCGTGTTGAACATTTTCAAACATAGTAACATCGATATTTCTACAAATATTTGTTATTATCAGCCGTATATCCAATATTGAAGCAGGTTCAGTTTCGTACACCTTTTGCTTCAAATAGCCCCATAAAAAAAAGTCTAAAGGTATCAAATCTGGCGAGTGAGCTGGCCATCCCACAGGACCTCGACGGTCAATCCAGCGACCGGGGAAACTGGTATCTAAATAATTCATAACTTGTCTGTAGTAGTGTGGTGGAGCAACATCTTGCTGGAATACAATATCAGTATCGAATTCATTAGGATTCGCTTCGACGATTTCGGTGATTAGAGGGTCAATAGTATTTTCCAGCATATCCAAATACAGTTCCCCGGTTAAAGTTTGTTCGATGACTAGAGGCCCCACAATATGATTTCCCAATATTCCAGCCCAAACGTTAATTTTTTGTGGATATTGAGTATGAGTTTCCCGGAAGACGTGAGGATTGGTGCCACTAAAATAACAACAATTTTGTCTATCCACATTACCGTAGAGAAAACAATGTACATTTATCACTAAAACAAATATTTTGGATATAGATAGGATGCCGTGCAATGGTTTCCGTCATAGTCTCGCAGAATTCTGTTCTTCGATCAGGGTCAGCTTCAGTTTTTCAAAAGTTTACATACAATAGAAGGACAAACCTCACATATATTCGCGATGGAGGACTGTTGGCGATTTACGATGATCTCACCAATTATTTGAACTTACTTTTCTTCCGGGATGGTCGGATGACCTGGGGGCTTTTTGTTATTTACACTACCAGTAGCTGTAAATTTAGATACAAGTTCCCTCAAATATTTTCAACAGATAGGACGATTCGGGAAACGATCATTAAAAACCTTTTCGGTCTCGTGAAAGTTACGCGTCGCACCATAAATAACAATCGCTTCTATTTTTTCTTCCAATGTACGAGAATTGACCATTTTAAAATAGTTCAAACAGTACCTAGCACTAAAACCAAAAACTAAATAAGAATATTTTAACTGTAAAATTATGTTTGTTTTCGTACTGATATTCTTGTCACTGTCAACAAAAAATAAAAAAACAAGTTTTTATCGCTGTTGCTGTGGATACGGCAGGTAGTTACAAGTATTTGTGGAGATATGCATGTAGTAGGTTTGTGTTCAAGTAATTATTAAATGTACCACCATGTTGTAGTAGGTAAAGGTATTGACTTTATATTCTAGGGTTATAAAGTACTCGTCAGGAGCTTCAAAATGATGTGCCACAGGTCCCCCGTTTTGATATAACTTTTTTTTCCAAGATGGCGCTCAGCAGCCATCTTGACATTTTCATCTGTCAACTTTACTCTAAAATATGGTATTCAAGCATCAATTTCATTACCTCAAGTTTTAATTTTTTTAATTGATCCGTTCAAAAAATCAAAGGAGAGGGGACATTAAAGAAAAGCACTGTATACAGATTGTAGACCCTAGCCTAGATTCAATCATTGAATTCATCGTCATTCCTTGACATGCTTCTTGAACTGTCAGAGGTTTGGTTCAATTTGCAGAACAAAGGTATTTTGTTCGGTAAATTATTTGTCTAAAAGGAT